AAACCAGAGGATCCCCACATGCCGGCTGCTGGGGGAGGGACCCAGAGTGCTCTCATTTAGAATTGTAGAGCTGCAGAGTATAGAATGATGCTGCCTGATAAAATGGATGATTGTTTCTAAGGAACAACAGATGAAGTCATTTAGGAAGAAACTAACTGATGGAACTAAACTGCTACGTCAGTCTGGAGCAAAATTAGTTCCTACCCTAGAGACGGGAGCAAAATGGAGACATTTTATCCTGAATTAGTCTCGGGAACAATTTTAGAACGCCATGTTCTTCTGATCGGTTCCTGCATAAAGCCCTCTGTGTCCGTTAGTCAAAATCCTCCCATTGTTAAGGGAGGACAAGGAACGGAGCTGGTTGTGATCGTTTATCTTAGTCTCTGATTAACCTGATTTACAGGTTCTGTTATCAGTTCTGTACTTCCTCCTTTCCAAGCTACTCTGTGATCATTTAGAAGCTGTTTATGTTAAATTAGTTTCCTATCTGGATGCGTTTGAGAATAGATATTTTAACAACTTTAATAGATAACATGGATTACTGCTGACATCTGGTTTAATGTTCTGGTTTAACCAGAGTAAAATATGGCTGCGCTGTGTACATTTTATTCTCTTTTGGAAACGGCCTGAACTTGTGCCTCATAACACACACACAAAGCACACAAACTTGTCTATGTTTGTGAGGCCTTTCCATTGACTTCCATTAATTTCTACAGCCTAACTGTGACCTCTGACCCTTAACCTCACCATTACGGGTTCATACCTAACCCGACCTCAAGACGGGAACATTTCCTCATGGGGACCATTCATTGGTCCCCACAAGTACGTATAAGTAACATATTCCTGGGAAATTGTCCCCACAAGGTAACACAAACACGGCCACATACAGAAATACACTTGTCTTTCTATTGGTAGTGAGGACCATGTGTTGATTTCCATTGATTTTCAGTCATTTTCAACCCTTTTTATGGCCTGACGCTAAAGCTAACCGTCAGCCGCGCGGTTAATGAAAGCTGGATGCACTGAGCAGCACAGTCAGTATTTCCTCTGTTACTCAGGTGCCTCATAAAGCGTGGGCTCTCCTGGCAGCAACTTCACCTCCCATTTCTTTTTAAGAAAATAACCTTTTTGTTCTGTTTTTTGGAACTAAAAATTAGGGTGATGGCAAAGAGACCCTCCAATCATAAAGACTTAGATCTCCATATAAATAAAAAATCTTAGAATATCAGTGGAAACACAGAACTCAGACAGACTTTATTTGTCATTCTGTACATACAAAAAGAAATGTCGTGTAGTACAGCTCTCTAGACATTTTCATTTTCTTAAAGTGCAGAAGTGCTAAATGTAAACATACGGCTGTGTATAATTTACAGATTACACTTTTTTTTTTTATAACCCCATTTTAGACAACATTCATCAATCTGATGGCGGTGTGGAGGAAGCTGTTGCAGAACCTGCTGGTCCTGCATTGAATGCTGTGAAGCCTCTTCCCAGAGGGCAGCAGGGAGAACAGTCCATGGTGGGGGGGTGAGGGGTCATTGATGATGTCAGGGGCTCGGAACACGCAGCGCTGGGATGAAATGTCTTTAATGGAGGGAAGAGGAGCCTCCATGATCCTCTCTGCTGTTCTCACCTTTTTCTAGTCTGAGGCGCTGCAGCCTCCACACCACACAGTGAGACAGCTGGTCAGAACGCTCTCTATGGTGCTTCTGGAGAAGGTGGGGAGGATGGGTGGGGGCAGCTGGGCTCTCCTCATCCTCCACAGGAAGTCCAAGCGCTTCTGGGCCCTTTGGACCAGTGAGGTGGTGTTTCCAGTCCAGGTGAGGGTGTCTGTGATGAATTTGGTGCTGCTGACCACGTCTACAGCTGAGCTGTTGATGAGCAGTGGAGCGTGGTTAGGCCGGTTCCCACCTCCAGGATCAGGCTGTTATCTCTTCTTCTATAGAAAAAGAAGCTCTAACTCTGAAAGAAGATTTTGACTGCTGTGATGGTTTCTTGTCCTTATTTAGTTGGATATTGCTGTTGAAATTGTTACGATTTAGCGAGACTGATGAGTGTGAGTCATTCCTGAGCGTAAGTCTTTTTTTTTTTAGGCCTTTAAAAAGCTAATAAAGTTGATTATTAATAAATTGGGATATCAGTAGGCCTTTGCAGTGCAACACTCCTGGGGCCGTAATGATGCGTAAACAATAATATTGTGACATCAGCCTGATGAGGTTAAAGTGGAAAGAGAGAAAATGTGTTTCTCCTCAGTTCTCTGTCTGGTCTTCAGGAAGAGCTGTAACTTTAGGTTTGCTGTCACGAGGGCTGAAGTTGTTGGTTAACATTCACTGTAACTGTGTCTGGTAGGGATCAATAGATACTGAGCCAAAAACTAACAGCCACTCAAATCATTCAGGGTCAATCTATGCTGATCACTGTGGACCAACAGGAAAATTAAACCATGAGAAAATCGACTTTTTCCAGATAAATCATGCTAATGAAGATACGCACGCATTTACACTATGGTGCTGTTTAAATTAATTGATGGTCCTGCATTTTATCTACATTAAATTGGTTTAGCTGTTTCATCTGTAATTACATAGTTAGATCACTGCTGACAAACTCCCTAATAAAAAGAGCACGAACGTCTAAGTCCTCTTTGTAGTGTTTGGTCGTAAAGAACTAGTTTTAATATTTTTGTTTTTTGGTTTCTTGGTACTTTACAAACGTTAAAATGTCAAAAGAGAAGATTCTACACGATGGTCTCACTGCTGCCACCCTCTGGTTTAGAGAAGAACTGCTTGTTCCAAAGATGTTGATTTAGATCCATGTGGGAACTAAGCCTGGATAATTAATTGCATTTACAATATTAGAACAACTTAGGAAAAAAATACAATTTTGAAACAGCAGGGTCGCTCAGGTTTAGTTACTTTACATTTAACAAGAGTAAGGAAGCAGCTTTCTCCCTCCAGTCCTGGTGGCTTTTGTGGGAAAAAGCTATTCAACTGTGAACTTGAGGGATTTCACTCAGTCCGAACTTTATTTTATTTGCAAAGATAAAGAGAACGAGATGGCATAATGTCCAGCCCTGCTCTGCCTAGACAAAGGATTGCTGAGTTTCAATTCAGAGGCTGCGTCCTCCAAAGCTTCATGGGCCGATGACGTCACAGCACGGTGCGAGGTCTGTTGGATTCCAAGACTCCTGGTTATGTGGCCGATAAAAGCCTTGGATATCACATGATTCATTGCGAGTCTGAGCAAGCCGGCTGCTCCGCGCTCAGAGGAAAAAGGGAAAAGGCACCGAACAGTGGTGAATATTGGAAGTGCAGTTTAATATAATCCAAGTATGTGAATAGTTCCGTCTGAAATGAATGAAAATAGTTTGTTTAATGTAATTGAGTCAGAAATGTGGCGGGTAAGGTTTGGTTAATCTGAAGGTTTTATGTGTCTCTGTGTAAATGGCTTTGGCTGTAATTTAAGCTCAGATTCCAATATCTCTGCAGTGTGGGGACTATAAATCTGATATCTGCCTGCTTTGTGACTGTGACGGTTGCTAGGAAACAGAACGTACAGGCGGTGAAAGCCGGAGAAGGCTGGACGTGTGTGGAAGCCATAGCCGAAACTCTTCCAGCCTCCTTATTTTCACGGACCTGGTCCAGGTAGACCGGGTCCTTGGAGGACGCAGCTTCTAAAAATAAATCCCTGAAGCAAGGCTGTTAAGATCTCAGCATACTGTTACCAAAACAATGACAGGTGGAAACAACACATAATGTTATGAGATAATCCCTGAAAATCAGTCTAGCTTGTTATCAGAAAGATTATTTGTATCCCAAACAGTCCCTTATAGATTAAACACCCCCCTCCGTCAGACACCTTGTAGTTCTGAGTCCTGAATGAATGAAACTCTTAGAAATCAATATACGGAAAAGGGAATTAATAGATTGATTCTTTTCCCACCACAGCAGCGGTAAGTGACTTAAAATGGGTTAGTGTCCACACAGAAGCAAAGAGAGAGCAACAGCTAGCAAGCAGAAGCATGCATGATTGTAGAAATAAGATAAATAAGATGTTTTTTTTCCCCCTCCAAGTTTCAGAAAGGTCCTGCAAAAATGCATGCAAGCTTTCAAGTTCATGAAAAACCTGAAACTGTGGAATCAAACATGCTTCCAAAATAAAGTGGTAACAGCAATATAACACCTGGTAGAGGTGACCAATGGTGACCAAGCTCTGTCTCTGGGGAACATCATAAATACACCTGCTTAACAAACTTTATATTATTTTCTAGGGATGCACGATATTGGGATTTTGCCCGATATCCGATATGCCGATATTTTAAAACTCATGTAGCCGATAACCGATACCGATGTTAAAGCTGGACAAAAATAGGTAGTCATTGAAAATAGCAGTTTTGTTATCCATTTCTGACATTTTGAAAAATAATATACGGTACTCAAATATATTTTCATATGCTGATATCAAACTGATTTTTAAAAACGCGGTATCGATCTATTTTACTTTCAAAATCTCGTGAAATTTCATCGTTCTGTTACAAACTCTCGTGATATTTTGCAAATTCTTGTGAGATTTTGTTAGTAAAATCGATTGATACTGCGTCAATATATCAATTTATAAAAATATGGCAATGGCGATGACATATAGCAATATTTCATTAGTAAAAGAGATTGATATGCTGTTTTTAAATGGCAATATATCCCCATATGAAGATATTGTGATATTTTAATGTATCAATATTTTTTCCCTCGTCTTTAGAAGTTTTTAAGTCTGTAAAAAAGAAGTTTTTGAGGAAGAAGAAGAAGTAGTATTTTTTTTAAATATCGGTGGGGTGGCCGATGTCCGATATTCAGTTTTAAGGCCGATACAGGCCGATTATATCGTGCATCCCTATTATTTTCTGTAAAACAGCCCAATGCTCCTTAAACAGTGAAAAGAACCAAAGAGTAAGTCTGCAGATAAAGTGTACCAGTGCTGAAATTGTGCTTTATCTCCCTCTGAACCAGGGCTTCCTAAAGAGTGAGCGAGTTTCCCGAATGGTTCAAGGCGGCGGCTGCTCAGCCAACGACTTCCGTGAGGTTTTTAAGAAAAACATCGAGCGCCGGGTGCGCAGCCTTCCAGAGATCGACGGCCTGAGTAAAGAGACGGTGCTGAGCTCCTGGATAACCAAGTATGATGCCATCTACCGTGGGGAGGAAGACATGCGGCGCCAACCACAGCGGTTCCATCTGAGCGCCGCGTCAGAGCTGATCCTCAGTAAAGAGCAGCTGTATGACATGTTCCAGCAGATACTGGGCGTCCGCAAGTTTGAGCACCAACTGCTCTACAATGCCTGTCAGGTAGGTGGATGGAGGTCAGCCCATGGAGCCGCCTGTGCAGAATGCTGGTTTTAGGATTTATTAGCAGCATCTGTATCGGTTCCATGGATAAAACTGGGCCAGTAGTGATGTTTATATGATGGCACTTTAGAAGAGAAGGGAATATGGAGAATTGGAGTGTCCTTTCTTTGAGACTTTACAGTAATGCTTAGTCCACCTTTAAAGCTGTGTTCAGACGGGGCGCTGTGATTTCCTCCAGCAGGTAGTTTACTGCATTTCAGATGCAGTGTTTACACTCTGGACAAAGAGGAGGAGCTTCAACTGCATGAAGCTGAAACCCCACCCACGTGAAAAAAACTCAGCAGATACAGTAGACTGAATGGTTATTGCTTCTTTATCGCAGCTTTAAGCATTTTAAATGGTCATTTGAAGAAATTGAGAAAAATGAATACATAAAAACGCTCATGTGCTGCTGTTGTTTCAGAGATATTAAAGATTATTTTTTAGGTCACCCAGAGGTCAACTATCCCCCATTAAGCTCTGAATTGAATCTAAATGATCTAGCCTACTTGTTCAGAGCTGCTTCATTTCTGCAGGTAAAACTGTTGTTTGTGCTGATTTGGTTTTTAAGATAGAATTATTATTAATTACGACCAATGACATCACCGTCCCAGCAGAAGTTATTGCATAACATCAGATGTCATTCCTGTATATAACAGTGGGCATGTTGATCTTATTTAGTAACTGGAATGGTTGTTTAATATTAACAGTTGATCACCAGCCTCCTGGATCCTCTGCTTTGGACCTGCCGTTACCCCGGGCAACCCTATACCATTCCCTGCCAGCTTTTCCCAATAAAAGCACAGGTGAACCTTAACATCACAGGCTCCTGCTGAATTGTTCTCTATAAACAGCTTTTGAATCACCTTGGGGAGACCATCATTTTTTGGAAAAGCCCCAAAAGCTCAGAAAAAAAGACGTAGCTCTGATTCTGTGGGACCTTGTAAATCTGTCCCCTGTTGTGGGGAAAAAAAGTATTCAACTATTCACTCAACTTAAATAAGTGGAGATCATTTATTTATTCATCTTTGCAAAGAGAGAACAAAACATCATATGGCCCTTATTGCATGGTAATCAGCCCTGTTCCTTACTTACAATAATGGAAAGTAGGCAGAGTCAAAACAAATTATGGACACTTTGGTTAAAACATTAACATGTTATAAATAAACCATGAGAAAGAATCTGGATTGTTACTGGAAGAAGTATTTTCTTCTATGCAAATAATCATGGCTCAGATATTTTGTGGCCTTGCAGGTGAAACAGACGGAGTAAAAACATTTTTCAGTGAGTAAATGGCATAAATCAATATACGAAATAAGAGGAATCTAGATTTTCGATGACACCCCTTACGACACCCCAGGACTAAATTAAAAGAGCATTTTTTAAAGCCACCTAAAGACATTTGCAGAGCATTCCTTATTTCTACCATTGTTAACATTATTTTTTGAACGCACCTTTAATGCATTTCAGGGTTGTCACGATACTAAACTTTTCAACTCGATACCGATACTAAGGAAAATATTCGATACTCGATACCATTTTCGATACCACAAGGATAAAAACAGACTCCAAAAGTCTACAGAAATATTTTCATTAATAAATAAAATATAACAAATAAACACAATAAAGGTTGTATGCTGTGCATAATATTAAGCAAGCTTGATAAAAAACTTATAAAATTCAAATTAAGTGTTCCTTCCTTGGTTATGCTTTGCACACATAACAGTGACACTAGCCAAACCAGTTAAGAAACAAAAATAATTCTCAGCAGCTGCAACTCTTACAAAAAAAAATTCTGAAACTGAAAAGAGCAAATAATTATTCAATCACACACTGTTCTGAAAGTGCATTGTCCTCTATTCTGCACTTTAGATGAATGACTGCTTAGATGCCACTGGTGACGGCACTGTATCGATACTTTTAAAAACGAGTATTGTATCCGGATATAACATTTCAGTATCGATACTTTTTTGAGTTTCGATACTTTTGACAACCCTAATGCATTTTATAAGTATGCGGGTAAACAGACACATTTATATGATGAGAAACAGTCTGGATAAGATGCTAACCTGAACATGTAATCTGGTGGATCGATGCTCTGCTGCTTTCAATGGGTCAGAAAGATTCTCCTTAGGAAAAAAAAGTGTCTTATTTAACAGGAAATTCAGGATGAGTGTTTTTCACTAAGACGTTTATTAATCCTTGAAAGGAACAGATAGTGTTTCCTAGGATCCTGCCTGTTCTGATCTAGACAAAGTTTTTCTCCCCAACTGAAAGCCTGCAAAAAGCTGTGAAGGTTCCCACATTTAGTTCATCCAAATATTAAAATGTTGAATGAACCTTCAGAGGAAGGAGTCTGAACTGTGATGAAAAATTATCTTCTGTTACAAACAGTCCTTCATTCTAGTAAAACTAACCCTCTCACCCAGACGCCTGAGTGAAAATATTCTGAAGGGATGTGAGAGGAAAATGACCACAGAGCTTCATGCTAACCTGAACTTGATCAACTGAATGAATTAATCTGATCAATGATCTTCTTTTATTTTGAAAATGTTGCCTCATGGTCCCATAAAACATTTGGAGGTTCAGGAAATAAACCTGGATAAGACAGATCATCGGATGATAGAAGCAGCTGGTAGGCAGGTTTATGGGTCACTGTTTGCTCTTCAACAGGACACTTTAAAACCTAATGATATGATTGAGTGTTTTTTATGATGCCAGAGCAGAAATCAGCAACGCCTCGCTGGAGGTCATGGAATTTGATGCCATTTGTGTCAGACAAGCTGTGTCCTTATTGGAAAGGTTCAAAAAGTAAAATAAAAACATTAGTTTCAGAAGAAACTCATGTTTAAAGGTGATTTATTGAAGGCTAAATGTTTTTCAAAATAGGAGCTATGAATAATGCAGCCCTCTAGAGGGGACACAGTGGAACTGCAGGGGGGTGTAGAGATACAGTGACTAAATGACCCATTATGGGAGATATCTGAAAAGGTTTAAGAGGTCTGCTGCACCTTAAAACAAAGGTTCAACTTAAAACGACTCTAACGGCGGGAACGGTTAACTGTCCTTGCTTTTGTGGGCTGAAAACTTTCTTGTTTTAAACTGGATTTTTGGTTTTATTTCAGCATTGAAATTCACAGAACATATCAGGAAAGACACATGTTAACGTTATATTGGCCGTTAGTGAAATAAAGTTTTAGCTTTATAAACAGTAGACATGTTAGCATTGGGTACCATGTGATCACTGTTAGCTTCCGGTTAGCTTGCTGTATACAACAGTAAACCCATGAAATAATCAGACAGCATCAAAAACACCAATTGTTTAGCTGGAAACTATTTTCCTAACTTTGCCAGACTTGTAACCTCCTGGTGAGGCATTTTCAAAGTTCAGCAACGCGACATTGCTGAACTGGTTTGTGTTCATGTTAGGGTTGTTAAGTTTCCCCAACTTTAACCTATAAATAATGAAACAAAGACAGCGTGAGATTTTTCCTGAAATGCTTTGCAAAGGGGAGAACAGTATCAATCTCTGCATCTCCGCTTGGCTCAACAGTTGCCAGGATTTTTATTGAACAGTCAACACATTACAACAGCAGACGTTAGTTTCGATTACACAATCTCTTAGACATAACATGAACCTTTAAGATAGGGAACTTGCCTGGTTCCAGTATACGCTTTACACAAGGTGTCAGGGTTATGAACTTTCACTTCTGTGCTTCTCAAATGAAAAACAGGAAAGAATTCTTGCAAAACATTTGACCGTCTTATGGCCTTCATACACTATTTCCAATGATGAGAGTAACATATAGAACATATAAATGATTGAGAGCAATATAAAACATATAAATGAATAAAATGATAAAAACAACAGAAATCATAATAACTCCAACAGTTCGGATCAGGCAAAAGGGGCCATGAAGGAGTTTGCCCTGCAACCGGAGGATGTCGGTTCAAGCCCTGGCTCCACCTTTCATTATCATTGTCCTTGAGCAAGAGACTTCCCCTGCTTTGTCAACTGATGGTAGTCAGATTGACAATTAAATAAAGATGACTGGTGGTTCCAGTGTACGACAGCCTAGCTTCTGTCAGTGGGCCTCAAGGCAGCTGTGGCTACAAGGTAGCTTCACCACCATCAGTGAATGGGTGAATGATTAAATGTGGTGTAAATGTGGACTAGAGAACAATTGGACTGAGGCCATGTGTTCCCTTGTGGGCCCTTCCGCCATAACATCCAGGGGAGTTTTGATAAAATGATTTTGATAAAACAAAACACACTTGCTTAGAGAGCAAGCTGCACAGAATTTTTGGTCAGCCTTGAAGTGTTTGTCGCAGGGCTCCACAGGGTGAATCCAATATTCCAAATTTGTTGGGCTTTCCCTCTTTGAAGGAGGCGTGCACACCAAGATATTATCCCATCTCACCTTTGAGTTCAACCACCACAGCCAGCTGGTGTTCAGTTGCCCCCAGCTGGCTCCCGTCAGCAGCCTGATCAATGCCCAAATTGCCGCCGACATCCTCTGTAATTGTAGATACATCCTGTATCCTCCAAATCCAAACAGGAGAAATCAGAGTATCATAAATCCAAACATCCATACATCTTCCATGTCCTCCACAGACAACATAAAACACACCGTTCTCCAAGCCGCCCCAGGAGTCCATGGTGTTTCCCACAAAGTATGTCCCAGCAGGACAGGAGGGGTCCCCTTTTCCCTGTCTTGCTTTTGAGAAAATTTGATCAATTGTATTGAGAGACCAGCTGACCAGATCCATTTTTGAATTCAGGTGATATGAAGAGAAGGGGGATGCTCAGTGGGACAGTGGGTAGCACTGCTGCCTTGCAGCAAGAAGGTTCTGGGTTCTATTCCTGGTCCAGGGTCTTTCTGCATGGAGTTTGCATGTTCTCCCTGAGCATGCGTGGGTTCTCTCCAGGTACTCCAGCTTCCTCCCACAATCCAAAAACATGACTGTTAGGTTAATTGGCTTCTCTAAATTCTCCTTAGGTGTGTGTGAATGGTTGTTTATCCTGTTTGTCTCTGTGTTGCCCTGTGATGGACTGGCGACCTGTCCGGGGTGTACCCCACCTCTCGCCCATAGACAGCTGGAGATAGGGACCAGCACCCTATAGTGGAATTAGGAATGTTATAGGATGGATGAGAAAAGACCAGACACAGCAAAACAGGGACAGAGCAGGGACGTGAAGGAGCAGCAGGAAGATGCGACGCCTCCTCCGTGAGCAGAATTGAATGCAGCTTTTATGTTTCTCTTCTGATGATTGCAGTTCAGTAAAAGCCTGTTAATCAACTATCAATTAAAATCAGCTGTGCTGAAGCAGAGAAACCTCTAAAACCTGCAGGATGGCGGCCCTAGAGGATCGACTTTGTACAAGCCAATTCCAGAGTTTGGAAAGGCCAGCATGGACATTGGTCCCCAGGCTCTAAAAAAATAATATCATAGCTTATCGCACAAAGAAAAAAAATAAAATCAACTGCCAAGTTGATGAGTATTTTTGCAAGCAAAATAAACTTATGGTAGTTTTTTTTTACTTATTTAGATTGTAAACCAACTTTATTTCATTGTCAAATTGGCTAATCTGCTCAAATCAAGGGAAAATAAAATTATAAAAAAAACAACTCTATCTTCTTTCTTGTTTTGCTGTGTAGTCTTTAAAATGTGAATGTTATCTACCTTTCTATCAGCACTCTTCTTCTTCTGTTTATTTGATGCTCGTCTTATAGCTCGACAACGTGGATGAACAAGCTGCTCAGATCCGCAGAGAGCTGGACGGTCGGTTACAGCTGGCTGAGAAGGTTGCCAAGGTCAGGTCTGCTTTACTGGATAAAATTCTTTGGTGTAAATCATGAAAACTATCATAACTAACTAGAAAAATCAGTTTTTTTAACTCGAGAAATAAGTAATATAAAAGTCAAACACTTGTTTTAGAACAAAACTGATTGATTTGATGCTGGCTGCTCATGAATACGTTCCTCCTTCTAGATGTGCTGATTATTACAATATTGAGACGAGGAGGAACTCTTCTCTGTGCTCTGCAGGAAAGGAGATTCCCTCGCTTTGTCTCTGCTGACATGGAGGCTCTGTACGTGGACGAGCTGCGTTCTTCTGTCAACTTGCTGATGGCTAACCTGGAAAGCCTGCCAGTGTCTAAAGGAGGACCGGACTTCAAGCAGAAACTTAAGCGCTCCTCCATGAATAACTCCTTCTTGGATTTGGGGGATGAAGGAGACATCCTGTCCAAATCGGATGTTGTGCTGTCCTTTAATCTGGAGGTTAGTCTGAAAGCAAAGCTTCCAACCACATGTGTTCTGTCCTGAAAACTTGTCTGGATGGCTGACTAGCAGGAGTTCATCTTGGGAAGGTAGAGGATGGCGTAGCTTCACAGTCATTTTGGAATAAAAGGCTGCAAAGGAGGGGGGAACTGTTATTCTGCCCCCTTTACTCTGATACACACAGGTGAACTTCAGTACATATCCCAAAGTCAAACATACCAGTGGCTGCATCATGCTGTGGGGAAACTCTTCTTCAGCAGGGGCAGAAAAGCTTATGGATGCATTTAAATCCTGGAGGAAAAGGCTGCAGCAGAGGTTCCCCTTCCAGTAGAAGAACCTCCCTGAAAACCCAGCCTTAGATGCAATACGTGGTTGAGATCATGGCCTAGTCCAAGTCCACACCAACGTCCAAACATTAGTGCTTCCCTTGGAGTTTCTTTCTACCAGATTTGAATTTTGTCAGCCAACCAAAGCCCTGCTGCTGAACCTCAGAGGGTTTTTATTGCTTTTGGTTCTGAAAAAAGTAGTTTGGATCAACCTGCAGAGATGTTGAAGGTCTGCTGCAGCTCATCCAGTCAGTGAAGTAGAGTTTAAAATGTGTTTGTCTGAATCCTTTGACGTCTTTTCCAGGTTGTTATCGTTGAGGTCCAGGGGCTGAAGTCTGTGGCTCCAAACCGGATTGTCTACTGCACCATGGAGGTGGAGGGGGGGCAGAAGCTGCAGACTGACCAAGCAGAAGCCTCCAGACCACAGTGAGTTTACCTTTAAGCTTTTGTTTAAAACTGTGCAACAAACAGGGGTTTCCTCTGGAGTTGCTCGTGGTTTTAGCTACATTTGGGAGATCCGGTTCTTCATACGCTGAGAACTGAAGGTTTTGAAGAAACATGGATTTAATTTAAACCCTAGAACCAGAGATGAGCACCATCCTGTTTCTGAGGGTCTGCTCCCTCTGTCCTTCACTTATGAAGGCTGATTGTTGGCTCAGATATCCAACAGTTCAAATGAGAAAGGTTAGATTCTTCAATTCTATTATAGAACAATGAACATTTTGTCAGGATTAATAAAATCCTGATGTTTGGATAGAAAGGAATTGAAGACATGATCATGGATGAACACTGAGACGTTTAACTGCCAGATTACGCTGCACAGTTATCTGTAAAAAAGGTGTGACTGTTTGCCATCCAAGGGGTGGGGGAGCCCAGGTCTAGCTTCTAACCCCTTCCCAGACACTCCTTCCACCAATCTTTCACCCAATGCCCCCCATTTACCCAACCAGGCAATGTCCCTATAAACCTGGGATCCACCCCACTGATGGACCCACCCGCCCCCTCAATGTCATAGCGGGGAAGCACCCTGTGACGGACCCCCCACAATGTCATAGCGGGGATCCACCCCTCTTGACAGACACACCCTGCCCCCACGACATCAGAGCGGGGATCCACCCCACTGACAGACCCACCCCGCGCCCTCAATGTCATAGCGTAGAAGCACCCTCTGACGGACCCCCCACAATGTCATAGCGGGGATCCACCCCACTGACGGACTCACCCCGCCCCCTTGATGTCATAGCGGGGATCCACCCCTCTTGACAGACACAACCCGCCCCCATGACTTCAGAGGCGGGAACCACCTTCCTGACCGACCCACCCCGCCACCACGACGTCAGAGAGGGGGACCATCCTTCTGAGGGACCCACCACGCCCCCAAAAAGTCTGCCTCAGCAGAACTCAACTGTTCCTAAGAGTAAAACACCTCGAATCGTGACTGTATGGGAGGATGAACACAGTGCTGAACAAGGTTTCCATGGCGCAGTAATATAATATCCCATAATATGTTGAAGGCCCCTTCATGGACAGTGACATCGGGTGCAAGAGTTTGCCCTGTAATCTGTGGGTTTGAGCCGCAACTCCGGCTTTCAGGGTCATTGTATCCTTGGGCAAGATACTTCACCTGCGCTTTCTACTAATGGTGGTCAGATGGTGGCGCCAGCATACGGCAGCCTGGCTTCTGTCAGTGAGTCTCAGGGCAGCTGCGTCTACAGTGTAGTTTGCCACCATCAGTATGTGTGTGAATGGATGAATGTAGTGCAAAACACTTAGGTCAAGTCTCCTGACTTGGAAAAAAAGTCCTATATTAGTACATTTAGGCCATTTAGCATTATATGTTCTCCTGTTCTGTCCTGGTAAGCAGGAAGGACGGCGCTCCATCACCATTTTGGCTGCTGTCAGTCAGCGCTCGGCTGATTATGGTATGTCTGCTCAGACAGCAGGGGGCTGTGGAGTAATAAGGCCGACCTTTCACTTGTTCAGGCCGCTAATGATTGTTTTTCTCTGAAGTTCTCCTTCTGTCAGAATCACCAATCGGAGGCAATAAGAGGAGACCCTCTCTGTCCAGAAGGGTCCAATGTGGGAACTGGGCTCTTCTGCAAAGCCTCTCTGCCTTTGTGGCTAATGCACGCTCTGTTTCGTGTTTCTCATCATGCGTTACATCATGGAGGACAGGCTGTGGTCCATTTCCTGCTTATTAGGAATGAAGAACACTGATTCCTGTTACAGATTTCAGAGAAACGCTCTTTAAGAGCTTTATGGAGGAAAAACAATTTAAACATATAACTTTCTGAATAAGAACATCTTCAGTTGTTTTCCGTCTGTGCAGCCGAGGAACCATGGGAAAAGATTCCAGAACCTCGCAGTGTGTCCTGACCAAAGGAGACACTGACCAGTACCAAAGGACACATGGACCAGTAGCAAAGGACACACAGACCAGTACCAAAGGACACACGGATCAAAGGACACATGGACCAGTACCAAAGGACACACTGACCAAAGAACACACGGACCAGTACCAAAGGACACACTGACCAAAGGACACATGCACCGGTACCAACGGACACACGGCCTGGTACGAAAGGACACACAGACCAGTACCAAAGAACACACTGGCTGGTACCAAACAACACATGGACCAATGGACACACTGACCAGTACCAAACGACTCATGGACCAAAGGACCCATGGCCCGATACCAAAGGACACACTGACTGGTACCAAAGCACACTTGGAGCAAAGGACGCACGGACTGCTATCAGGCCTAGGATCACTGTGCTGGACTTTTTTATCAGCATTTCTGTTTAACTGCTAATAATTAGCTTGATCCAGACTGACAGCTGCTTAGCTCAGTTGGTAGATCCTGATATCAGCATCCAGAATATACGACACATTTAACCAGGTTTTAGGAGGCTCCCCTAGTGGGTAAAGATGAAATGACTATAGGAAGGCGCCAAACCTGAGCCCTGAGGTATCCCATGAGGCAGTGGGGCACTATCAGAATATAACACTCAGAGACCTCTCTGATAAACAAGAAGGGAACCAAACAAAGACGACAAACAGGTGTCAGATGTCCAATAAAGGCCGTCTGAGATGAGGGTCTACAGTCACCTATAGAGAGGATCTACAACCAGCCATTCAGTTGTTCTGCTTCATTATTAAAAATCTCTTATAGAAATGGATTCTAGATGGAAGAGAAGAATCTAACATGATGGCCAGTAGGTGCAGATGTCTTAATGAAAACAGACCCTGGTATGACATCAGAAGACCCTCCATTGCTCCTTAGCAGGAGCAGCTCTTGCTAACAGCGGTCCTCCAGGTGCTGGCTAAGCCATTTGTTAGCTTCTGGTTAGCTTCTCCAAACATGAGGATCATCTGAGGAGAAGCTGAGAAGCTGCAGCATCCTCTGAGCTGGAGCTTTATAATGCAGCAGTCCTCTACAGACTTCTGTTTGTACCGTGAAATAAACACACCTTTTTTACGCTGTGTTACCATGGAAACAGCAGAAAGCTCATCTAAGGCTGGTTGGTTTTTTGGCCTTTCCTCACGAATGGGTGGCGTTTGCCCTCTGTCTAAAACAGCCGCCCTGATGGCGGCGTGACACTGGGCTTTTCTCACAGCGTGATCCCAAGCAAAAGGCGGCACCTTTTTCCATGGAAACATAAGCTGATGGCGTGGAACTGAACGCTGCTTCCAGATATATCAGCAACGCTGGGAGCTGCTGCAGGAGAAGACGTTTCTAAGTAGATTAGGCCTTCTACAGTTTACTAACAATTAACTCAATCCTAGAATTTTTATCCTAGAATGGCAGTGCACCGGGTCTCCTCGTCTGATTTTTTTTTTCTTTTCATTGAAATGGGGAGATGTGTCCCCTTTGGTTAAAGCACTGGCATCCTGGGAAGGCTGCAGGAGAGACGAGGCCGTTTAGGTCATAGAACCAGGAAGTTAAGAGACAGACAGACTAGAATCTGGTCATTTCTACAGCAGGAGGGAATTATGATCCTGCAGCCCTTTATGTGATAGAGGTCCTTTCAAGACAAGCACACACACACACATAAAATAGATCTGCATTCAACAGAGCAACTAGATCAACACAGTAGAAATCTCTGAACATGGACATGAAGCACCACCGTGTTAGCCCCCATGTTAGCTACTGTGTTAGCCACCTTGTTAGCCACAATGTTAGCCACCTTCTTTGCCCCCATGTTAGCCACCAGTTAGCCACCTTGTTAGCCAAAATGTTAGCCACCTTGTTAGCCACCATGTCAGCCCCCATGTTGGCCATTATGTTAGCCCCCATGTTAGCCACCATGTCAGCCCCCATGTTAGCCACCTTGTTAGCCCCCATGTTAGCCACCATGTCAGCCCCCATGTTAGCCACTGTGTATGCCACCATGTTAGCCACTATGTTAGCGACCATTTGAGCCACCGTGTTAGCGACTATTTGAGCCACCATTTTAGCCACCGTGTGAGCCACCATGTCAGCCCCCTTGTTAGCCACCACGTCAGCCCCCATGTTAGCCACCATCTCAGCTCCCATGTTAGCCCCCATGTCAGCCCCCGTGTCAGCTCTGATGTTAGCCACCGTCTCAGCCCCCATTTTAGCCACCGCGTGAGCAACCATGTTAGCCACAGTGTTAGTGACCATTTTAGCCACCGCGTGAGCCACCGTCCCATGAAAAGGTAACGACACAGTACTTCGTTTCTCCTTTACTGTAAATAGATTTAACTGCTAAATAACTATTTAGTATTTTCCCTGACTCCAAATACAAAGCTTCTTCCTAATTTGGTTAAAAACTTATCAATTCAAAACAAAATAATGAAGAACCAACTTTATCTGGAGGCTTTACAGAAGTTCAGTCTTAGTTGGCTTAACATTGTTTTAAGGCTCTGGAAAAGGTCCAGAAGTCGGTAAATGATTTAAACACGAGATAAGCTGTTTATCAGACTGAGCTGCAGTTATTATCATCTGTAGCTTAACCATTGTGAAACCTAAGAGTTGCAGAGGTCTAAAATTCAAACCCCTCACCCCTAACCCTTAACCCCTAGCCCTATACCCCTCACCCCCTAATCCCTTACCTCTCAGCCCTTAACCCCTCACACTCACCCCTAACCCCTCAATAACTACAGAGTGATTTTTCTCTAAGCAAATTATCTGCATCCACACAAAAAGCTGATGGTCTTATGATTTAGCTGAAAACCTGAAGAAAGACATATTTAGTTTGATTTAATAGAGGGGGGTGGGGGTTCACTCCCCTCACCCAGGTGCAGAGCATCATTAGCAGCTGGATGCTGCACGGCTTCTGGAAGAGACGGGAAGAGACACCTGAGCAGCACCTTTATCAGATCATCATACAGCCGCAGCAGCAGGAGCTCCTTCCCCTCAGACATCACCGCAAACTATGATGTTTCATAACATTTTGGGATGAATAAAAACATGTGGATGGAAACTATACTGAACTACGACCACTTCTTTAGTCACATGTTCCTATGACTGATAATTTGTAGCAGCACTTTTCTGCATTTTTAGAATAAATGATAGTTTTCAATTTTCTAAAACTTCAAGCTGCTGCTTGTTGCTGCTGTTCAGTTTCTAACGTCTGTAATGCACGCTCGGTCTGTACAGGTGGGGAACTCAGGGAGACTTCAGCACCCCCCATCCTCTGCCTCAGGTCAAAGTCAAGCTGTTCACAGAGAGCACCGGAGTCCTGGCTCTGGAGGACAAGGAGCTTGGCAGGGTGAGGCAGAGAGAGAGGAGTCAGAGAGAGAGAGCAGAGACATGTTTTAAGTTTCCATATCTCCTCCAGGTGGTCCTGAACCCCACCACTGGCGGCCCAAAGCAGGCAGACTTCCACAGGATGGCGGTCCCTAAGAACAGCCAGGATGCAGATCTGAGGATCAAGCTGGCGGTCCGCATGGACAAACCCCCCAACATGAAGCACAGCGGGTGAGTCTGCTCTGGGACGTTCCTGAATGATGTCACTCTGATGAAACATTCCAGGAGGTTCAGATGACTGTTGGTCAGATCGGACTTTAAAGCTGGATGGGTTCCGGTTCTGGTTCCTCTTCTTTGAATCAGCGCTGATGTTGTCTCCTCTTGTTTCCATGGTGATCACTTTCTCTGCTCACATCCTCTCTCCATATTCAGATGATGGATGGATCAGATAGAATAACCAGAACCAGAACCTCCTCAGCCTCCATTATTCTGGTTGCAGAAACTTGTCTAACTTATTAAATCCAAAAACGTCATTAAAGTTTAAAGTTGTTTCAAAAGTTTTGAAACTTTTCCAACGTGCCTCCTGAATCGGGGTGTTTCTGTTTAGCATGCCAGTAGCGCCACCTGCTGGTAGAGGAAGTCTGTTGAGGATCTAAAGGCCTCACAGGAAACAGCTTAAAGCTGTTGTCTTCCTCTGAGTTCTGATAAAAACAAAACATAACTTTATTTACTGAATTTCTATTTAACAACAACAATAAAAGGTTAAATCTATATTGAAATAATAACTGGCTGATTGATGCTGCATTAGATGAATGTTCGGTTCTTCTGCTGCCTTTAAATCCAGTATTTAGCTCCACTGAGCTGACTGTGCAATGGCTGACTGTAGCCACCAGGTGGCAGCAGATCTAACTGATGGACCTGATTCAGCTCTGGGTGAAAATCCTATAAATCCTTTAACTGTGCAGAAGCTTCTATTAGCCTCCAGTTTTTTCCACTCAGGTGCAGCTAATCTGAGCAGGAGGCTGCGTTCCTCCAGGTCAAAGTCCGACTCTCTTTCTTATTGTTTGCTGTTTGCTTACATCTCTGCTCCCATTGGACAGAAGTTAGCAGGAGGAAAGTCAAACATGAGGGAATAAAAACAACTAAAGCAAAAGCACCTGATCCAAAAAAAAAAACAAAAAAAAAAAATACAACTCTCTGAAAAGTATATTTGTCCTTAATTCAAGAAGGTAAATAGATCTTAGAATGAGATGTTGAGATATTATTGATTAGTTTTATTTACCTGCTTGTTAAAGCCAAGAGAAACTCCACTGGTTCAATAATTCTTCTTATATTAACATTTTGCTGTGATGGAGAATGACAATCATTAAAGCTCAAAGAGAGGAAATGTGCTTTCAAACAGGAAGTGGTTGAACCAGCCAGATGTTTGCTGTTGTTCCAGCTGTGGAGTTTATTCGCCGGCAGCGGCGTTGCTAAGAGACAGACGGAGGATTAACTTGGAACCTTTGCCATCACTGCTGTTGTTGGGACTTTAGAAGCCGTGAAAGAAAGGTCGTCCACGGATCTGTTCTACCAGAACTAACCTGTCCAGGTGTTTGGACCCAATGGGGAACCGTTTGAAGAGGTCCAGGGTTCCCTAAAGTACCGGTCCTTTCAGGACCAGATTCACTGTCCAGGTGTCTCTGAAGGAAGAGGAAGATTATTTCCCCATTAAACCAGGAGGCCCAGTGGAGGAGAGACATGGGATGGAGGGGACACAGATGGAGGAGACACCAGCAGTTAACCAAACCCAGTTGTTTGAAAGGTGGAGCTTCAGGGGAGTTATAGCAAAGAAAACTAAACCTGGTCTGATTATTGAGCCACAATTCACAGGAAGCCAGACTGAATCTTGACCTATGGAGGAACAACCATCTCTGAGGGAACCATGAGACCTCTGAGGGAACGGTGTGACCTCAGCATCATTTATTGCTCTAATATTCTCACTGATGATGACCTGGGGTTCTCCCTGTCCCTGCATGGAAGGAATTAGCTTCACTTCCTGAATTAAAGAAGACGGACCATTGGAGACCAGGATGGGTCTCTGCTTTGGTTCCTGGCAGGGCCTCCTTCATGCACCTGGATGCTGCTGCACACAGAGAGAGATTAAAGGAAAATTCCGGTTTTTAACACTTTTAGCCCATTTTCTGTAGTGTCCAGGATGAAATCGAATGATCAGCACCAAAATTTTAACGATTGGCCCTGTCTCTGCTATTTGGCTCATGCAGAATCCCCCCCTGGCTGCTTCAGAATGGCTTCCATTGTGCATGTCCGATAATGTTCTTAAAACAACCTTAAACGTTCTATTTTTTAAATATGCTACTCACCGGGTCGTCAGCGCTGTTCAATGACGTTCCAAAAAAAGTTTTGTGAAGAAAAAACGTTCCTGTCTTGTTTTATTTAGCATTTTGTAAATCCCAGAACTATTTTTTCCGATACATCACAACCGCTTATAAACTTCCGCTTCCCGTTCGAATCTGAAGCGTTGCACACTCCAGACCACTAGTTGGCGACGGTATCCTCTACCGTCAAACTCAAAGTCCAATATGTCCTCCTCAAGAATCCACCTTTCGTATTCCATTTTCAGAGTTTTTTAAAGTGTTTAACAGAGACGTTAGCACCTCGACGTCGGAGTACACAGAGTGAAGCAGAAACACTTGGGCCTTGCGAAAAGACTACAACTAAGTGTAAACAGGCCCCATTTCCGTTTCCGGTGGCGGAGGGATATTGACTATTCCAACAGAACTCAATGGGATTTACAAAATGCTAAATAAAACACTACAGGAACGTTTTTTCTTTACGAAACTTTTTTTGGAACGTCATTGAACAGCGCTGACGACCCAGTGAGTAGCATATTTAAAAAAAATAACGTTTAAGGTTGTTTTAAGGACATTATCTGACATGCACAATGGAAGCCATTCTGAAGCAGCCAGGGGGGGATTCTGCATGAGCCAAATAGCAGAGACAGGACCAATCGTCAAAATTTTGGTGTCGATCATTCGATTTCATCCTGGACACTACAGAAAATGGGCTAAAAGTGTTAAAAACCGGAATTTTCCTTTAAGTTCAGAGAGCTGCTGCAGAGCTGGAGTTAGTGAATAAAGGCTCTTCTTCTGGATGGGAAGCATCAGCAATGCTGTTCCTGACAGGAGGGGCAGGAAAGCTGTAAATTAATCTGGAATGTTCTGATGAAGGAACCGTTCAGTTACCATACCAGCTCTTAGCAATGTTAGCTCGCTAACATTGATTTTCTATAACTGCCCTTTAGCTGCTGATGACTTCTAATGAAAACTTTCTGTTTTTTTTCTACATTTCCACGTCCATACTTTATATTTGCTTTTCTAATTATTAGATTTCACTGAATTTGCTGACGTTTATGTCTTTGAATAAAAGAAAATATACAATGAAATAAAATGAGAACTTAGTAACTCCTAATTTCCTCTCAGTTTCTCTGTTGTAACCTTTGAACCTCCAAAGATCTATTTCCAGTTTCTCTTGACTAATAGCAGAATCTCCTGCTTTCATGTTGATGGAGGATTTTATGATGAAGTTCTGCTCCTCTTGGCTACAGAACATCTGGAGCAGCTGAGGAAATGAGACATGAAGCGATGGATAGATGCAGCTGATTAGAATCAGCACCCGAGGATGAAAAGGGGCTGAATGGAGGGAAGGTCAGGTTTGAGTTCCAGGAGCCTCCAGCAGGGGGCAGTAGGAGACTCCCTGTAATCCTCTCGGAGTTTATTCAAAATGTCTCAGTTTGTAGATCAAATATTTCAAATCAGAACAAGTTCAAGAAATGCTTCTTCTGGCAGATATCAGTATTAATAATTGTGGGGTTTTTTTTTTATATAAATTTGCTGCAAATAAAAATGAATTCAGAGCATAAATAGATGAATTTAGTCATTACAAGAAATAAAATTGCAGCTTTAGGGATTTTAATAAACGAAAAAAAAAATAATCATTTGGATTTGTTTAAATCAGCATAAATTATGATTTTAATGTTATTTTCTTTCCAGATTCTATTTTAAAATTTTCAAAATGTTTTAGTAATAAATTAGGACATGAAATAAGTTTTTTGTTTTTATGATTGGCTTAGATGAATATTTGGTATAAAATATTAAAATCCGTTTAAATACTTTTTCTTTCAAAAGCTGAAGAATAAATAACTACATTTGTAATTAAATGTAGTTTTTAAAAATTGCTGTTATTTCATATTCACCTTTTTAAATTATGTTTAAATTATGTTTTATTAAGAACTGAACTTATTGAGAATTACTTTTAAATCTCCTGATAATTGTGTGAAATTTCCTACAAGACCAAAGAATAAAAATAGTTTGGTTTCCTGATTTTTGCTGCAGCGTTTTTAGTTTTATTGCATTCAGATCATTTTCTAATTATTATAATTATAGAGAGTACAAAAAAGAAATGAAGTTGTGCATATGGATCAAACACAGTCTGTATTTTGTGGTGCATTTTGATCCAAGCCTCCTGCAGAAGGAGCATTTTCTGCACTGAGCTCCACGCCTGCAGCCGCCGGTCGCTCCGCTGAGCTGCAGCATCTTATCCTCCTGCATCCAGCCTGCAGGGCTCCTTCCATCGATCCATTTTACTCTCTTGCATTTGCCTGCATCCCACGCCTGTGTGTGTGTGTGTCTGGGGGGGGGGGTCATTTTAACATGGAGAAGTTTTCCTGTCGAACTCAGCAGCTGCATTTGAAACATGTATTTTTAAGCAATTTGCTCTGAAAAGGTTCCAGTTTAAACTGAAAAAATAATGCAACCATTTTCTTTATCATATTTAGTTACTTTAACACAATTGTTTTATGTCCTTTTTACTAACATCAAACAATTGTGTTAAAGGATCTAAATATGATTAAACGCCAAAGAAGGTTGCTTTGTTTGTTTCTTTTTTTGGGAACGTTCTGCTTGTTTGAAGGAAGCTGGAAGATGCTGTTCATCTTCCAGTCCAAAGATCAGGGGCCATTTCCCGGCCTGCAGCGTGCCAAAGCCCCAAACACCCAAACCACACCATGGGCGGCTCTAAACCGAAGCAAACAGGGGCCAGATCATGCCCTGGCCCCTCTTATGGCCCCTGTAACGAAGACAAAATACTCAAAGAAATTCTACTGATGATCTGCGCTGGAACAGACATGGTTACTGATAGCTCCTTTGGATCTATTTCATTTTTTCTCTTTACAAAATGTGTTTTACTAATTTTATAAAAGCAACAAGGTGATAGCTTCAGTGGGATTGGGATAGGATCCCAGTTTTCATCTGTCAAATGTTTTTTTCAAAAAAAAAAAAAAAATCACATTTTTTACAGCTGAATTTATCAGGGTTTTTTTTTGTTCTGATTTAGTTTTTATAGAAAATGGGAATTTTGACTTAAATTAAGTGAAAAATATGTACCGTAAGATTCCTAAATTCTGAATGTATGTTGACCTAATAAGACATAGAATTTTAATTACACCTCATTGAATAGAAATCTGACTTCATGCAGCTCTCTCAGTATCTTTGAATCCTTCGCCCTGTTTTTTTATTTCATGCTTTCTGTTCCCCCATGAAAACATGCTGGCCCCCCTCCTGGCCCCCTGGTACATTTGGTCTAGAACCGTCCCTGCCACCCCACCCCACCCCCTGTTACATCGTTAACCCACCTGGCAATAACTTTATAACTTTATGAGCAGGAATGAATGGAGGCTGCAGGCTAAGCTAAACTGGTAAAACCAGATAAACCAAAAAAGGCCGATCAGGATTTCATCAGCTTGTAGATAAAAACATTTGAAAATAAGACCGTAAGAAGCTCATAGTTCTAGTTCTCATAAAACTAAACCATTTTTTTTTTTTTTGACCGGAACTGCAGATCAAGCAGCTTTTTAATGTTCGTCGTTATTTTCTAACCTGGAAGGAGGAGGATGAACAGAAGAATCCTCCACGTTTGCAGCAGAATCACATGAATTTAAAGTTCTGGATTCTTATTTTTGCATGCATTATGCTCAGAGTTTGCCTCGGCAGCGTCTGTACTTCAGATCCATCAAATGGATCCAAACATGGCGTTGAAGGAGACGCCTGCAGGTTCTTTCTGAGTGACGCAGCAAACATCTTTACTGTTTAGTCTGCAGCTGCAGGCCTTCACTGGTGATTAGCTCCGAGTTTAACCCCGATCATTAGATCTGCTCATCAAGCTTCACTTCTATGTTTCATCTAAAGGCTGTTTTAGAGGTGATGTAGAACCCAGACTGGAGGAACTGATCAAGTAAAAACCAACAAAAACATTATTATTATTATTTTTACTGAACGTCCCCTTTTCATTATAATACACTTTCAAAAATGGGATGTTTTTCTCATCAAGCAAATGTAACGCTTTAGTCTCCTTGAACCCTCAGCAGATGGCCGCTCACACTGAGCCTGGTTTTGGTTCTGCTGGAGGTTTCTTCCTGTTTAAAGGGAGTTTTCCTCTCCACTGTCGCTGCATGCTTGCTTGCTGTCTGAAGACTGCCATCTCTACACCCCCATGCAGGAGGAACGAATCAGAGAGCTGCTTCTCTTTAGATTAAAACACCAAACTGCTCATTTAACTGATATTTCCTCTGTAGAAAGAGACTTAATTGTACTGAATTAATTAAAAATTTCAGAATTTAGTTCAGATGAATTCAGATTCCTTCCCTGGCCTTTTGTCACCTGCTGGATGTTTAATGCTGTTTTCTGGCCTTTTGGGTTTCAGGTACCTGTATGCTGCTGGGCAGAAAGTCTGGAAACGCTGGAAGAAAAGATATTTTGTCCTGGTTCAGGTGAGATCAGCAGGAACTCTGCTCCGCCTTAAAGGCAAAGACTCACATTCCCTCAGAGGAGCAAATATCCTCCTCTGACTGTCAAATCTGTTTCAGAACATCTTTGTTGCTTCATTTCTGAGAAGTGTCTGTTGAAAGGGAAGAAAGGAAAAGGATGAAAGGTTTTTATCTCCTCGTCGAAACAAAGGATCCAGTTAATTAATCTATGCCTCATCTTCTTCATCTGTCTGAGCGCTAACGGCTCAGTCAGCCAAGCTGTAGTTCAAGGGAACGTTGCCTTTAGTGAAACGTGGCAGCCATGTTTGTTCGGATGAAAGTATTTAGAGGCTGAAAGCAGGAAGTCTTTGGACCGAGGATCCTGTTCGCATCCGTTCCTCCACCCAGACCTCTGCAGCTTTTCCTTTAGGAATGTCCTGCATTCATCCATTCATCTTCACATTGTCCTCTACTTAGCATCCCACAGCATGATGCTGCCACCTCCATGTTTCAGCGCAGGAGAGGTCTGTTCAGGGTGATGTGGACAGAGACCATGATCATCCTGTCTCCATCTGTTTGTTCATCGGTGGATGAATGAATGAATGAATGAATGCAGCAGCCGTGGATCCATGTTGTCTTCCTGTGTTTCTGCTGCCTTCAGGTCAGTCAGTACACGTTTGCGATGTGCAGCTACAGGGAGAGGAAGGCGGAGCCTCAGGAGCTGATGCAGCTGGAGGGCTACACTGTGGATTACTGCGACCCTCAGACAGGTAGAGGACTTTCTCTCACCTCATTCCTTTTTTTCCCTAGAACTTTTTATTTAACCATTTTAGTCATTTTACATTACATCTCCTGACAAAAACTAAATTAGTAAACGTCACGACAAACACAAAGTACCAAAAATCCTCCCAATGAGGACCTCAGGCACAGCATATTATATCCATCATCTGTAATCTGTGACCAAGCAGGAAATCTAACAGACCTCTCCTTCGAGGAACATCTCATCCCATCATCCTCTCCATCAGACACCCAGATACTCTGAAGGTTCCCATAGTTAGCTGCAGGCTTCCAGTCATTCGCTCCATCATGTAAACATGTTTCTGTGTCAGAACCCATTGACTTATAGTTGCTGGTTTTCCGTCTCTCCACTGCATAGGAATCATTTTCTTTGCTACCAGTAAAATAATCCTGAGTGAGCATCTCTGATCTTCATTATATCTGTTTTTAGGTTTGGCTTCCAATAAAAACACCACAGGTTCAGGACTGTATTAAGTGTAATAATATTTAAACAACAAAAATCAAGTGTAAAATCCACTGGTAGTATTTTCTTTTATAGCACAAATAAATCAAATTTTTTTTTTATAGAAAACTAGAACTGTGTCTGGGTTGGAAGTGAGAGTGAAGGGGTCAAAGGTCGTTAGCAGGCCTTTCTGATTTTTGGGGCCTAAAGAGCTCCGCCTCCCTTTAAGGGGAGAGTGACATGAGGAAAAGAAAAACCAAAAAAGTAAAAACAAACATCTGCACTGGAAAAGCGATCTGGAAATAAGAAAAAATATTTTAAATTAAGTGTATTTACTCTTATTCTGAGTAGGTAGTAGTGATAGTTTGCCAATGGTATGAGTATTTTTACTCTTAAAATAAGATAATCCGGTAATATACACTTGAAATAAGACGATGCTGTTGTGTTTTCTTATTTTAAGTGTAAATTGTCTTGTTCCATTGGCAAAATGTCTCTTTTACCAAACAAATGCACTTATTTTAAGAAAGAATGACTCATCTAGATTTAGATTTTTTGCAGTGTGGCCCGTTGAGTCTTCTGTCGTCTTCCGTCTCTACATTATTTTCTTTCTAGCTCTCTTCTGACTTCTGTCTGCTCTCCTTTTTACTCTTCTCTATAGATGTTTCTTCCTTCTTTTTCAGCTGTTCTTCCCATCAGTGTTCCAGTTTTCCTCTCATTCAGTCTAAACTATTCTAAAACAGAGACGTTAATAAAAATTACTTCCAAAAACATTAGGTCAGAGGTCTACAACAGGGGGTCCGCGACCTTAGGGGTTCCACAGAGGTACTGCATGGGGGTCGCGAAAGGTTTGGTTGACGACTTTTTTTATATTCCCCCCTGCAATTATTTCCACTAATTGAAATGTCTTTAAATCCAATATGCAAAATACGATAAGGGATATCGCAACTGGCCCAATTTTACAGGTACTTGCCCCTGCACCGTCTGTGGGCCAGTGGCATTGCTCTCTCTCTCTCTCTCTTTCCTTCCCTCAAGGCACCACTAGGTCTCTGTGACTGGAATCGGAGTTGGGTAGGCTCAGAAGGTTGTCAAATGGGCACCCCCCTTCACTGGTGTTTCGTTGATTTAAGCCCATGACACCTCGGAGGGGCTCAACGGCAAATCCAGCGTGCTGGACCCACCCCTACCGAACGCCACCCGACTCCTCATCCGGTTCTTCGTTCACTCAGTGCTTCGGTTCTGCCAGCGCACCTCGCGCTGCATCCAAATCCAGCGAGATGCCTCCTCCGCCCGCTTGGTGACGTTGGCTACAAGCCGCTTCCTGGCCAGCCCTTCAATCCCCAGCAGTCCAAGGGCTCTCCAGAGCGACCGTCCAGCAAAGCCTCTGCAGCCCACCTCCACTGGGAGATTCCAGGTCTTCCATCCATTTTGCTGGCTCTCTAGGATGAGGGCTTGGTATTTATTGAGCTTACGCTCATAGGCCTCCTCCATCCTCTCTTCCCAGGGGATAGTCAGCTCGATGAGCACCACCTGCTTGGTACCTTTAGACCATAGAACAATGTCTGGTCTCAGGCTAGTGTGGGCTATCTCCTCAGGGAATTTGAGCTGCTTTTTTAGGTCTGCCCGCATCTCCCAGTCATTTGCCGTGGCCAGGACCCCCTTGCTCTTCCCTCCTACTACTCCACTTTCTCCTGCCCTGGTAAAATGTATGAAACAAGGCCCTTTGGACAGCTGTCTTGTCCTTTTCCTTGCCTGCTCGATGCCGTCGGCCAATTGAGCAAGGATCTGGTCATGACGCCACCGGAACTTGCCATCTGCTAAGCTTGAGTGACATGAAGAGAGGACATGCTCAAGGTTAGCTGTCCTTCCACAGAGCTTGCAGCTTGGGCTCTCGACCATTCCCCAGGTGTGGAGGTTTGAGGGAGTAGGTAGGACGTCATAAACAGAGCATAAAAGGAACTTGATGCGGTGGCCTTCCATGCTCCAGATGTCCTGCCAAGTAAGAGCCCTCTCTCTCGCACTCTCCCATCTAGTCCAGCTGCCTTGTTTGTTCATGGCTACAGCCTTGACATGCCGGCTTTCCTCCTCCACCCTTCTGACCTCTTTCTGCACCAAGCCTCGCCTCTCCCTTGGGTCCGCTTTGTTCCAGCTTGTTCTGGTGAAGCAACCTAAACCCAGCCTTCCCTGGGCTACCGACCCGACAATGTCTGCGTGATTCAGTCTGTCCTCGGCCTCCTTCAATGCTCTGCTGGCTGACCACTTTCGGCCTGTCCAGATGACGATGTCTGCCTGACGTACTCTCTCGTCTTTACTGTCTCGCAGCATCATGGCCTGGCGTGTTTTTGTCGCCTTGTACTCTTCCACCACTGATGTTATTGGCAGCTGTAGCTTGCTGCCTGTGCTGTACAGGCCAATGGAGCAAAAGCTTTTTGGGATGCCCAACCATCTCCTCAGGTAGGTGTTCAGCTTCCTCTCCAGTCCCTCAACAGTGGAGACAGGTACCTCATAAACCAGGAGAGGCCAGAGCAGTCTGGGGAGAACCCCATGTTGGTAACCCCAGGCTTTGTACTTGCCCGGGAGGCTGCTCTTCTCAAGAGATGTCATCCAAGTTTCTGCCTGGCTAAGCAGCTCCTTCACACTCTGCCTGTCATTGAGGTCCGCCCTGTACCACTTTCCCAAGCACTTCACAGGCTTTTCTTGGACAGTTGGGATCGTGTTCTCTCCAATTTTGAAGCGATACCGATCCTGAACGCGCCCCTTCTTCAGAACCAGGCTTCTAGATTTTTCTGGTTTGAACTCCATCCTTGCCCAATTGGTGATCTCAACCAAGTCCTCCAGAATCCATCTTCCTTCTGGTACTGATCTTGCTGTTATGGTGAGATCGTCCATAAATGCTCGAATGGGCAGCATCTGGACTCCACTTGCAAGTACTGCACCTCGACGCAACTTCTCTGCTGATTTGACGAGAAGGTTCATCGCTGCGGAAAAAAGGATCACTGAAATCGTGCAGCCTGTGACATTAACATGAATTCAACAGACTGTAGTAAACAGATAAATGGAGGCAGAAGATGTCTTTCAGTCATCAATGCACACATTCAGCGACACACAGGAGCTCTTTCAAGCTGGACACCGTTTCATTCACAACACCTGTCCCATCAGCCAGGAATCAGAAATACTTTAATAATCCCAGGGAGAAATTACTTTAGTTACATTACTCCATCTGTAATAGAGTGACTATAGGACCAGTTTGATAGAACACAATTTAATACAATATATATATATATATATATATATATATATATATATATATATATATATATATATATATATATATATATATATATATATATATATATATATATATATATAATTAGGGGGTCCCCGCTCCATCTCACCATCAGTTTGGGGTCCTTGGCCTGGAAAACATTGAAGACTACTGCAATAGAACAGGAAACATATTATTGCTAACTCATGTAAATAAAAACAAAATGCTAATCAATTTGTATTTTGGATAATATTTGGAGCTAGAAGCAAAAACAACCTAATAAATGAACATTAGATAGGTTGTTGTCTCTTCCTCCATCATTCAGATGCAGATAGTGTCTGAGTTTTCCTCTTACTGACTGCTACCATTTTTCATGAGAAATGTTCTTATATCCAAACTAAGTAGTAGAAAAGCCTGGAAGTCTATGCTCATAAATCACTACCATAAAGCAGAAAAACAACTTATGATGACTAACTTTCTTAAATATCAACTAAAGGTCACCAATCAGTTCTATGACATCTTTAAATGAACCGATATTAATCCCTGAAGAACCACTGAAGCAGATTAGCTCCTTTAATCCGAGTCTCTTTTACTCATTCCAGCAGTAAACTCTGGTCTCGTTTTACTTCTTTTTATTGATTATTTTTTAAACTGGACATGAAGCAAACATTCATCACAGGATCAGCTCAGTGCAAATAAAACTAATGGATTAACACCCTCACCATGGCACAGGGCAGCTCCCTATCAGGTGTGTCGCAATGTGATAAACTTCCGCTTTACTTCGGCTGTTTAAAAAGTGGTGCACTCTTTTTCTTCTTCGTGTTTTAATGGCAGCTGAGCTCCATGAGGATCATCACAGTTGTGGAGTAAAAAGATATGTTTGTTCTTAGCCTCACAGGCTCCAAACGAAGATCATGAGAGATCAGAATGAGTCACACAGCTTCTTTTATGGCATGAAGTGGATCCATCTGGCCAGTGAAAGATATATTAACCTAACAGGGAACAGCCTTGATGAACTCAGGTGGTTTTTCCTCCAAATGTTGAAGTTTGAGAAAGTTCTTTATGCAGAGGATGGGTTGGTTCCCCGGGGGGGGGAGTGTGTGTTGGGATTTTTTAAGGTATAAATGTATATACTGAGGTTGCCTCAGTCTGAGGACGTTAAATACATTTGAACCTTTTTTCTTGCAAGAAATGCCTCAGCAACAGCGAGACAAAAATGCTACCGTAACAGCTGTTTCTGTCCTCAACATACTCAGGCGCTTTTCTACCGTAATAACAGTCTACACGCAACATTTCCCCCCTTGTTAATGAAAGGTTAAAATCGGGGACATTTCCGGGGACAGCTTTAGCTGGGGACAGGTGGTCCAAACCAGGGACTGTCCCTAAAAATTGGGGACGTCTGGTCACCCTGCATTTACATTTAATATTCCCTCTATTTCCTTTTTAATATTGTCCCAAAATCCTGGTATTAGTGGACAATCCCAAAAAATGTGTGAGGCGTCTCCAATAATTCCACCTACACTGGGATTTTTCACCAATGAGGAGATAATACAGGGAGCATTAAAGTATCTGATCTTCACTTTCCAGTCAAGTTCTTTCCATAGTCGGCTGTTAATTCCCCAATGACAGCCGGTTCATATGTCCACCCATGCAGAACCTTAAATTATAACATTTAATTCTTATTTCCATTTTTACTTCATATTGTATGTGTTTTCCATACTACCGGTAGATACATCTTTTCTTTGTTGGGAAATGCTTCTCTATAAGACTGAAGACGTACTCTTCTATTTCATTTGGATTTTTTCTGACCAAATCTATTTCTTAATAACTTGTCTCTCATTTCTAAAGCTTTAAAACCTAAAATCAGAGTTTATTTCAGCCTCATGTTTTAGTTCCTCCTCAGTATGAAGGCCTGAATAAATTTTATGCCATCAGTATCTTTGCAGCACAGCTTTTTATTGAATGTTTCTGATGATGCCGATGAACCACTGGTAGGACTTGATCCTTGTCGTCTAGGACAGGTTGAGGAGACTGTGTTCTCAGAAGATCAGCTTTTAAAAGGCTGACATACACTCCTGATCAAAATCTTAAGACCAGTCAAAAAATTGCAAGAATTAGTATTTTGCACCATTGGATCTAAAGAAGGTTCTAAGTAGAGCTTCACAATGTTAAAAGAAGAAATCAGCGCAAGAGACAAGAACTTTTGAGGGGGGAATTAATTGAAAACTGTATTTACACTAAAATAGGATTTTTTTCAGCTGATCAAAAGTTAAAGACCATAAATCAAAAAAACCCGAAAACCCCCCAAAACAGAAATCAAAGTGTCAAAAAAAGGACTCAGTAATGAGTCCACAATTCTTGTTGATGACTTAAAACAATCGTTTATGCGTAATCGTTGATGCCAGTGTTTCCAGGAGGCTAGTGGGAACGTTGCTCCTTGTGTTGAAGATGGCTTCACGAAGGGCATCCACCGTCTGGAACTGATGTCCATTTTTGTAAACTTCCCTTGCCATCCATCCCCAAATGTTCTCAATGGGGTTTAGATCCGGGGAACATGCAGGATGGTCCAAAAGAGTGATGTTATTCTCTTGGAAGAACTCCTTTGTCAGGCGGGCATTGTGAAATGCAGCATTGTCCTGTTGAAAAACCCAATCATTACCACACAGACGAGGGCCCTCAGTCATGAGGGATGCCCGCTGCAACATCTCCACATAGCCAGCTGTTTGATGCCCCTGCACAACCTGAAGCTCCATTGTTCCATTGAAGGAAAACACACCCCAAATCATGATGGCGCCCCACCACTGCGCCGTGTAAAAAAACATCTCAGGTGGGATCTCCTTGTCATGCCTGTAACGTTGGAAGCTGTCGGGACCATTAAGGTTAAATTTTTTCTCATCAGAGAACTTTCTTCCACCTTTCAATGTCCCATGTTTGGTGCACCCTTGCAAAGTCCAAACGAGCAATTTTGTGGCTTTGAAGAAGACATGGCCTTTGAAGACGTTTTTTGTTTCTGAAGCCCTTCTCTCGCAGATGCCATCTGATGGTTATTGGGCTGCAGTCAGCACCAGTAATGACCTTAATTTGGGTAGAGGATCATCCTGTGTCTTGACGGACAGCCATTCCTGCGGCTTAGAGCTGGTGAAATTTTTTTGGCTCTACCCCTTAGAGATGTCCCGATCCAGGTTTTTGCACTTCCGATCCGATACCGATATTGGCCGATACCAGCCTATCTGAGCATGTATTTAAGTTTAAGTTAAAGTATTTAGCCTTAGTTGTAAGACTCATGTTGAAAAGGGTTTTAGTACTCTTGATAGCATCTAGCCAGCTGAATTAGGTGAGATTGAATAAAACACAATGATTGGTAACAACAAGCTTAACTGTTTATTAAGAGATAAACACAAACTGGACAAAATTATGAATAGCAATCTAATATTGCACAGTGAGCAGTAAAACCGTAAACAGTTAAAGGTGCAAGTATTACTGTAAGTTTTAATAAAAATGCAAAACAGGGAAACACTGGCGCAAAAAAGTGGAATGGATCGTTTCAATCGGCGAAACTGGAAAATACGGACCGGATTTTTTTTTAAAAACTGGATCGGCAGTCTGGATCGGCATTTTACATGCTTTGCCGATACGCATTTTTTTTGCCAATATCGGCGTGCCGATCCGATACGTGGATCACATCGGGACAAGCCTACTATCCCTTGACTTATTTGTTCCATAACCCTCAGGATCATTTAAAAAATGCAAAATGACTGTCTTACTGCGTCCAACCTCAGCAGCGATCGCACGTTGTGAGAGGCCTTGCTCATGCAACTCAACAATCCTACCATCTTCAAAGTCAGTGAGCTTTTTGGCTTTTGCCATCAGGAGGTCTTGACAGTGTAAAGACTTGACAGAAAATGACATGGAATCCAGATTTTTGCACAGCTTTTGGCTTTTAAAGACTATGGTCTTAAACTTTTGATCAGCTGAAAAAATAATGTTGGAGTGTAAATGCAGTTTTCAGAAAATTCCCTGCTCAAAAGTTCTTGTCTCTTGCACTGATTTTTTTTCCTTTAACATTGTGAAGCTCTATTTTGAACCTTCTTAAGATCCAAAAGTGCAAAATGCAAATTCTTGCAATTTTTTGACTGGTCTTAAGATTTTGTTCAGGAGTGTATAAAAAAAAAAATGCAAATGCAGATTAGTGTGATAGCTGCAGTTCTGCAGCGGTTAGTGAGCTTCAGATGATGGACGTCATTGTTGATGGCCCCTGCTGAAGATGCTGGACTCACCAACTCTTCTACAGAAGCATCATCACCTGTTTGGGGGAAAACCTTCCAAAACATCCGCTTTAGCAGTGACACACAGAGTCGTCTGGGATGTGCTTTGATTCAACTCTGCCTCATTACTTCTTTGTTTCTTGCCATTTGTAGGACTGCAGGGTGGTCGGATGTTTTTTAACGCAGTAAAGGAGGGCGACCTGGTGACCTTCGCCTGTGATGACGAACAGGACCGAGTGCTCTGGGTGCAAGCTATATACAGAGCCACCGGCCAGTCGTATAAACCAACCCCCCCGCTACTCAACAAAACTTCAAACTGCAGAGAAGGAACCATGAAACCACAATCCATCAGTAGGTGTCAGTATTTATTTTTTGACGAGTCTGAAAATATGTCGTCATATTAAAGTTAAACCAGAATTATTCTCTGATGTTGTGATTTATTTAATAGAGGAAAATGCAAACCAAGAATGGCCTTTGAGTTGTGTTGACGAGCCAAGCTAGGATGAATTTCTACCGTAGTCGCTATAGCAGGACAGAGTGAAATAAAAAAAAAAAATCACAGATTTTACTTTTATAGGAGCAAAAAACAGCAGATAACTGATACCTGGAGAACAGAGATAGCATGAAGCAGAATGATGAAAAAGGGGTCCCTTTGTCCTCCAGCAGTCTAAGCCTATAGCAGCATAACTATGCACATCCTTCTCAAAATATTAGCATGTTGTGATAAAGTTTATTATTTTCAATAATATATTGATAAAACTTGAAAATTCATATATTTTAGTTTCATTGCACACTAACTGAAATATTTCAGCTCTTTGAGCACAGTGATACCATGGTCAGTAAACCAGGGGTTTTGGCTCTGTGAGCAGCTGCCAGGTCGTTCTTATAAATGAAATCTTCATCTCCATAAAGCTTTTCAGCAGATGGAAGCAAGAAGTGCTCTAAAATCTCCTGATAGCTGCATTGACCTTGCCCTTGATAAAAACACAGTGGACCAACACCAGCAGCTGACATGGCGCTCCAGACCATCCCTGACTGTCGGTACTTGACACTGAACTTCTGGCATTTTGGCGTTTCCTTCTCCCCGGTCTTCCTCCAGACTCTGGCACCTTCTTCTCTGTAGCCCATGTCAGGCGCCTCTGCCGCTGTTTCTGGTTCTAAAGTGGTTTGACCTGGGGAATGCGGCACCTGTAGCCCATTTCCTGCACACGCCTGTGCACGGTGGCTCTGGATGTTTCTACTCCAGACTCAGTCCACTGCTTCCACAGGTCCCCCAAGGTCTGGAATCGGCCCTTTTCCACAATTTTCCTCAGGGTCCGCTCACCTCTTCTGGTTGTGCAGCGTTTTCTGCCACACTTTTTCCTTCCCACTGAGGTGCCTTGATGCAGCACTCTGGGAACAGCCTATTGGTTCAGAAATATCTTTCTGTGCCATAGCCTCTTGCTTGAGGGTGTCAATGATGGCCTTCTGGACAGCAGTCAGGTCGGCAGTCTGATTGGATTAGGGTTGATTGGGGTTTTGAGTGATGAACCAGGCTGGGAGTTTTAAAGGCCTCAGGAATCTTTTGTAGGTGTTTAGAGTTAATTTGTTGATTCAGATGATTAGGTGCATAGCTGGTTTAGAGACCTTTTTCATGATATGGTGATTTTGTGAAATAGGAATTTCAGGTTTTCATGAGCTTTATGCCAAAATCATTTGTATTAAGACAATAAAAGACCTGAAATATTTCAGTTAGTGTGCAATGAATCTAAAATATATGAATGTTCAAGTTTTATCATTACGTTATGGAAAAGAATGAACTTTATCATAATATGCTAACATTTTGAGAAGGACCTGTAGAGATCTTAGCCACGATTTCTTACTCCAAGGTTCCAAACTTCTTTGTCTTCATACTTCTAACTTTATTTCTGTTTTACTTGGTAAAGTCTTATTTTTCCGGCCTGTATCCGTTTTTATCCAGTTTGTCGGGTTTTTTTAACCATTGATTGACTTCCTGGTCGCATAATTCCCCATTTCCATTTCTTGTTTCCAATCCTTCCATCTTTCATACTGCTTCTGCTGTGTATATAAATAATAACCTAATCTGTGTCAGAAACCGTGAAGCTTCTCCTCCATATTTCCAATAGCTCCAATTAACTTCCTTTTTGTTTCTTTTTCCAGTATGAACCATCATTTCCTGCATGTTTATTTGTCCCCTCTCTCTTTCACACACATGCACATTATTTGCAAATAATTTCATTTATTCCATGTTTGCAGTAGACTCTGTCTGAATTCTTGCCTCCTGCCAAGCTGGGCCTGGCTGCAGGGGAGCTTCACGCTGAGAGCTGATTATTGCTGTATATGTGTAATTTGCTGTAATAGCTTTCCATTCTCAACATCTCTCATTAGTGCCTAATAGAAGAGATTGAAGTGTCAGTGGTGAGAAGTGCTGACATGCTGTTTGGAGCAGGAAATAGGTGGTGTCTCTGAAATAACTCCTAACTGGGTGCTAGGTGCTCTTCTTTAGATCAGTGCTTACTGGGTTTGACAGAAAGTCGTTGACTGGATTAATTGTTGTTTCTGTGAAACCCTCTGCTCCTCTCCAAGCCCTACAGACGTCTTCATCAAAAGAAAATATCGCTGTTAAATGGCACGAAGTGGTTGTGCCACACAGATGTTTATTAAAACAGCTTTTTTTTTTAGATTCAGATCAAATCTGTCTGCTGCATGGTCCGTCTGTCTTTGATTTTTCTATTGTTAAAGACTGAATTCAGATCAAAATCAAATATTGATAATGTTGGAGAGGAAAAACAGAAACAGAAACTTGTAAAGGAGGCTGCAGGAGGAGTAGGTCATGGAAACTAGGAGGACATCATAGAATTTATGAGGCAGAATAACAGGAGAATTCAGCAGTGAGCAGCTGTGGCAGCGAGAAAACAGGGAAGCTGATGGAGGAGGGCTAATAAACAGATAGTGAAGGTAGTTTGGAAAACAGTGATAAAGACGGCGATCGCTGCATAGCCTGTAGTCTAGATCTAAGTGGGAGACAGACTCATTAGACATCTATTTGATTCTATTCTATTTGATTCTATAGTATTAGATAATATTCTATTCAATTCTTTTATCACAGTCTATTGTTTTCTATTATATTTGCTTCTATTTGATCCTGTTCTATTATATTTTATTTTATTCTAATGACTTTGTTCTATTTGATCCTGTTCTATTATATTTTATTTTATTTGGTTCTGTTCTATTTGATTCTATTATATTTTATTCTATTCTATTTGATTCTGTTCTATTCTATTACATTCTTATCTATTCAGATCTATTCTATTTTATTGCAATCTATTCTTTTGTATTATATTTAATTCTATTCTTTTCTCTTCTATTTGATTCTATTATATTTTTTCTATTATATTTGATTCTATTCTATTAGATTCTATTATATTCAATTCTTTTTTTATCAGTCTATTGTTTTCTATTATATCTGCTTCTATTTGATTCTGTTCTATTATATTTTATTTTATTTGGTTCTGTTCTATTTTATTCTGTTCTATTAGATTCTATTCTATTCAATTCTTTTTTTTTATCAGTCTATTGTTTTTTATTATATTTGCTTCTATTTGATCCGGTTCTATTATATTTGATTGTATTTTACTCTGTTGTATTTGCTTCTATTTTATTTTATTTTATTCTATTCTATTTGATTCTGTTCTATTTGATTCTATTCTATTAGACTTTATTAATTTTCAATTAATTTTTTTATCACAGTATTGTTTTCTATTATATTTGCTTCTATTTGACTCTGTTGTATTATATTTTATTTTATTCTAATGACTTTATTCTATTTGATTCTGTTCTATTCTATTACATTGTTGTCTATTCAAATCTACTCTATTTTATTACAATCTATTATTTTGTATTATATTTAATTCTATTCTTTTTCATTCTATTTGATTCTATTCTATCCCAGTCCAGCTCATGAGGTCAGTCCTGGGAATTAAAGGCAGTTGTGGTCATTTTGGCTCGATGATGATGCTGATTTTGCTTCATCATCCTTCCTGCCTGCAGCCATCAGCACCTCAGTTCCTGCAGCATGGAATTCCTCTTTGAGATAAATAAAGTGTTTTTGGATGGAACTGAATAAATCCTCTCTGGAATTATGCGCTGCATATTTAGAAAGTTCTACCTGCTGGAATACTTTAGCGTTATCAATGTGACGTAGCTTCAACGACATCCTGTTAAAAAACAGAAGCAAATCTTTACAGACATGTCTGAGCTGCACATTTATACCACCATAACAAATATATTCATTTCTTAAAGGGAAAAAGTTTCCAGATGAAGGAAGTCTGCAGCTTGGAGTCCTTCGTGTCTTTGAGGGTTTTATTGTTCAGTATTAGTGGAGGAAAAGCAGGTGGCCCAGAGGCAAACAGAAAGCTGTCCATTCCTCTCAGCCTCCCTGACTCTGGGCCAGCGAGGACACGCTGACGCGGCCTTTTCAAACTTTCCTGTCGCTCTGTCGGCGCTGCTGAAGAGAATCCGTGCTCAGCCAGAATGACGCTGATGGACCTGTCGGCCTGGATCTGCGTCTCGGCGTGCCCTTACTCCACCGGATCTGTTTCGGTCCGACGGGCAGATCATGTCACATCTTTCAGCATTTTGCACCTGCTTCTGAAACGCTGCCTCTCCTCCTCTTCCTCCTGCTCTGCATCAATAACCTGCCATCAGAGGCTACTGCTACCTTTCAGAGGAGGATGTCACATAGATGTGACTGTTGCTGTGACGATGCCAATGAAGCCCAGACTCCATGGAAATGGAGAGATTGAGTGCAGAAACCCACCCCCACAATCGCACCTCTCCACACACGCACTGAAGGCCAAACGTCAGGATAGGAAACATGGAAAGGACTTATCTGAACCAGAACATCCCTGGTTCAGATAACGAAATGCCCATTAGGAGACCAGTGGAAACCATTCGGATAAATAAGACCTCCAGTCTCCGAAAACAGCAGGAGAAAAAGGAAATTTAATCTCATTATGCATCAAACTGTCTGTGCCCTTAGAAAGAAAACTCTCATGCTTGGGTTGGATCTGCTTCACAGTAACGGGTTGACCAATTCAATTCAGTTTATTCATATAGCGCCAATTCACATCATGTCATCTCAGGTCACTTTCCAGTTCACCAGATCATCCAGTGAGATTGATTCAAAGTTTTCTATCTAAGTAAAACCAGTTGATTGCATCGACTCATTGACTCTTCAGCAATCCCTTACACTAAGCATGCTTGTAGCGACAGTGGAGAGGAAAAACTCCCTTTGAACAGGAAGAAACCTCCAGCAGAACCAGGCTCAGTGTGAGCGGCCATCTGCTGAGGCCGACTGGGGTTCAAGGAGACAGAAGCAGACATAGAAAAAGAAGCATAGATACAAAAAGCAGCTGTAAACCAGCTCCACAGGCGGCCCCGTCCAGGAAACATACAGCCAACAAGCAATGCGTTAAATAAATGATGGAGACTTTGTCTGATGTGCAGCTTTTTCAAATGGATCAAATCAACCAAACATCCAGTGGTTTTCAGTTAAAGTAAGTGAAGTCATATCTGTGTAGGATATTCTCAGAAAGGTGGGATTTAAATAAAAAGACCTAAATTTAAGTGACATTAATTGTCAGTATCAGTCCGAAACTTCATGAGGTTAAACCCACCTCTCCTTCCCTCTGACATCCAGGTGGGCAGCCCTGTCTTAGGACCGCCGCCGCCTTCACAACGGTTCCAGTTTGTTCCTGTCACTGAAAGTTGACCAAACTGCTGATATTTGGAGACAATCATTTTAAAGTTTGCATGACAGAAATGTTCATCAGCTAGGATCCAAATGTCTGGAGTGAGCAGCTTGCACAGGGCCTCCAGGGTTTTAGCAGCGGGTGGATGTACCAGCTAGCATCACAGGCTCCATTTCACAACTGTCCATTCCAGCAATTTTTAAAAACTGCATTTTGGATGCAAGACGTGATCCGTCACACTTTCTACACTCGGTCCACCAGCCTGAAACTTCTGAAACTTTATTATTGCAGTTTTTCCAAATGCTTGGCAGACATTCCCATGATGCAGGGATTTAGTCAAAGCAAGAAGCTGACTACTGATGAGCCGTGGTTGCATCTCTATGTCTGAACGGAAGGGGCCGTAGAGCTGCTGCTATTTAATGGATTAGAAATGGTCGCCTTCTGACGGTGCAGTAAAACCAAACATGGTGGAAACTAGGAGAGCAAGCGGGAAAGTTGACCTGGAATCTGTTGTGTTTGGAAAACCCAGAGCAGGTTGGCCGTCGTACTGATCAACTGGGTCAGGACCAGTGAGATCCTTTCCAGCCATCGCTGCTGCAGAACCCCCCCCCCCCCCCCCCCCCCCTTCTTTCTTACAGTTGGATTTGACACAGATCATCAACACTCTTCTGCTGTTAGTCCATCAATCAATACTCCCCCTCCTCCCCCCCCTCTTATTATCACTCTGATCTATATCTCTTTGTCTCGTTTTCTTTAGAGTCGCCTCCTTTAGCCCCAATCTTTTCTCCAAATTACATTAAGGACAATCCCAGGATTTGATGCTAAATGTAAAATGACCTACATCGGAATTAGATGAAGTGAAACTAGGCCACATCAGAGCAAACGTGAAGTCAGACGTCAGAAGAAAAGCAAACGACTCTTGATTGGAAGTTGATTGTAAAGATTTCACTTCTGCTGCCTTTTTTTTCCCCTGTTGAACAAAAGCCAAAGAAATGCGGTTGTGGATGAGTGGGGGGGGGGGGGGGGGGGGGGGGCGTCTCTGCATCCAAACAAAAACAAAATGGCAGTGTTAATAAAAAGCAATCACTAATGCTCTTCCCCGGCAGCGGGCCGCAGGCGTCGCAGGCGCAGGGACGGCGCTGGCTTTCTTCAATGACTCCTGGTCTTTTGTGGAGCCATGTGTCTGAGTCCCAAACTTCCCATCTCCAAATGTACTCCCACAATACGGGCGGGGAGGGAAGTGTTAGGCTTTTCATTTGCTGGGGCCATTAAGGCGAGGCTCTAAAAGGACTGGAAGTGAACCCAGGTTTGCTCAGGCTGGGTCAGCATGTGCCTGGCCTGCTTAAGTAAACCCTGCTCACCATCTGCACCTCCGCTCCAATAACGCCCGATCTGAGGAACGTCTCCATCGTCCTTAAAACAACATGGGATTAAAAAACAAGCAAAAAATGCTTTCCTTAAATCATTAAAGGATGGTTCCATTTTTCATTCTTCCTCTTACAATGTTTTCAAAGCTTATAAATTAAAAAAAGAAATTAACTGTTCCTGTTATGAATCCAGAACAGTCCTTCTTTCGTCAAAGATAATGTTAGTTCGCTGATGCTCCTATTTTTCATGACTATAACGAGAACTGATAAGCTAAATGTGGATCTCTGATGATGAAAACTTGACAAGCCATGGGTGTGAATTTAGCAGGTCATCGGTCAGACGTTTGAAATGCATCATTGTGTTGAAATCAGCTAAGCATTATCAGCCGTGCTGTTGCATCCTGTTTGGTCACGCCGCCCACCTGGCGTGCAGCGCTGCTCAGTGGCGGGCTGCAAATAACCAGAAATGATCCGGTACTGAGCGCTGAACTCCCACTAACTCTGATCTTCCAGCTTTGCTTGTGCAGAGATACGTCTTTGCGCGGCTCAGCTCAGAGTTTGCGCTTTACGCTCCACTCTGATGGTTCGCTCTCACCATTATGGCTCTTCCTGCTCTCACTACTTAATAAACTATATGTGGCTGATCATCCTCTGCCAAGCGTAACAAATCCCTTTGTCTAACTATCAAGATTTTATTTCTTCGAGCTCACAAGAGGTGATGCTAAACCTTCTTTAATTTCTACCAAAAGGAATCCCTAAATTATATCCAAAGTAAATATTTCTTTGCTTTTGTTTATTTTTGGATAAGATCCAGATGAAAAGGTACATAGATCTTTGAATATTTCTCTCTCATTGTTCTCATTTCTATCTATTTAAATATGATGTGAACGATCCAGAAGAAGGCGAAACTTAACAGGTTCACAGATGATTGCCAGCTGATTGACAAAGCCAGAAGACCTGCAGCTTCACAGACTGATTGCCTCAGTGCTGATAGAGATTTCTGCATAGAACCCTTTACAGCCATGCATTGTTTTTATTTATTTAGTTTATTACATACACTGCTTAAACAGAATGCAGTGGATCAGGTTGAAATAGGCTAAAATATGATCATCATTCTGGAGCTTTGTTTACTGATCAGTGTTTTTGGGTTTTTCTTTCCTTCTAATTAAGTCATTCTATGTGTTAACTGCATATTCTAGATCAAGCCTGATTCTTTACCCCTTCATATAGGCAAACGCAGATGCATGCTTTCTGTTTAACATTTTCTATATTACAGCCGTTTGGCTGGATGAAGCCAGATGTTTGCATCAATCTTCTTTTAAATTTCCTGGCTTCAACATTAGTTCATCGATGCTCCAGTAAACAATTTAATAAAACATAGATTCCTGGTTGAATGATGGAAAAAAGCCAGAGATCAGTCGGACCATCGGGGTGAAGGAAGAGCCTTCAACCAAAGGTCGCTTTCAGGCATCAGTGTCTCATCAATAAAACTTTGTTAGAAGTGTTTGTTCCAGGTTCTACTCTTTACTGCTTTGTGCTTTTAGGTCTGGATCCATCTCAGCGTCAGGGTGTGGAGGATCTGATTTCTGCAGCGCCCATCAGCTTTGACCACGCTGCTCTGTTCAGCATCCTACAGAAACTAACTCTGCAACACCGCATGAACGACTCCTTCTCCTGCCTGGTAGGTCAGCAGCCACACAGCCTCATGACAAAGTATAGCAGTAAGACCTGCGTTTGGAATAATTGCATCATCTGGGGTGATACAGAGTTGACGTTTGTTGAAATTATAAAATACATTTTCAATTCAGTTTGTTTCTATAGCACCAATTCACAACCCGTCATCTCAAGTCACTTTACAGAGACGGTTCAGTCAGATTGGTTTGGAACACCAGCTGATTGCACCAGTCAGTGACTGAAAGACCTGCTCCTCCTGGATGAGCCTGCAGAGACGACTTTCGCTTGCATTTTGCTTTTGATTCTTCAGCAATCCCTCATCTGCTGGAAGAAACCTCCAGCAGAACCAGGCTCAGTGTGAGCGGCCATCTGCCGAGGCCGACTGGGGTTCAAGGAGACAGAAGCAGACATAGAAAAAGAAGCATAGATACAAAATGCAACTGTCAACCAGCTCCACAGGCGGCCCCGTCCAGGAAACACACAGCCAGGCAGACGAGCTTCGAGCCAGCTCCCATGTCAGAGGATGAAGAGAGCACATCCAGTTAGTCACAGTCAGAGAAACAGGACTACACTGAAAAACAGGCCAAGCTCCAACATCAAGAAACAAAGGTGTTGATTGCAGCCAAACAGGAACAGACCAGATTAAGCTACTATGAGAAACAGCAGAGTCAGAACAGAATCAGTGGCTTGGTGGTGTTTCTCTGAAGGTGTCCAAAGCTCTTTTTTCCATTTCTTCCATGTAAAGATTGGCTACATTTGGTGACACTGGAGATCCCATGGGTTAACAATGCTCCTGTCTGTAAAAATGATCCCTGAACTTGAAGTAGGTTGTGGAAAGATAAAGGTCCAGTACAGATCTGGTCCGGAGTAAAATTAGTCCTGTTGTTTAGGTCACTGTCTTGTTGAATACGTGTCCTGACTGTTTCCACTGCCTTTGATATAGGTATGCACATGAAAAGAGAAGCAACATCAAAACACAACAGGGTTTCTCCTGCTGCCATCTTTAAATGTTTGACTTTTTTTGCAAAGTGTTTGGAGTTTTCTGTGGTGTGGTGTGTTTCCCACCAGGGAAGCTCAGCTAAGCTGGGTAATAATGAGTCTGAGTGTTGTTCCCTCCAGAAAGCTTTCTCAATTCAAAATGTCTGGAGTGCCGTTGAGTTCCAGGCTTATAAGGTGGTCCAAACAAAGCCTGGTTCTGGCTTAGAAAACATGCAAATTGAAGATTGAGATGATAGCGGGAAGGAATCGACTTTATCGCTGCGTTGTAGGTTTTAGAGAGCTGGAACCTGAGTCCACCCCCTCTGTTTCTGGATGGGAAGCAAAACGTCTTCAGACTTGGAAAACAAAGTCTAGTGGTTTGCTTTTGAAATTTTTTTTGGAATGACTATGACCTGGATTACTGAGAATCTTAAGCCGGGCATACACTGTGCGATGTTTTTAATCGTTGCACGCAGCTAAAGCTCATGCTATAGGACGAAACCGCAAGTTTGAAAAGTTCACAGCTCACGATGTTTGTTCTCACACTGTGCGACCCGATGCTCTGATGCGATCTACCTGCTCGCACTGTACGTCTAAAAACCAGGTAGGACTCAGCTCCGCAGTGAGATGGCGCTACTCGGACTCGTCTATTCTAAAGCCAAACCAGTAGCAGAGGAATATGAAGCTGACTAGAGTGAAACGCCATGCCTTGGCTATTTGGGCAATTTTGTGCTGAAAGCCCTAAAAAGAAAAGGAGACGACGTATTTGGACAAAGACATGGCTGAGCAAACGTGGCTACTACAGTCTGTCAATTTGACAGAAAGAACTACATTTCACTCATTGCATCCCCACCATGCTGCTGGGTTTTCATCTGAGAGGAAGAAGAATTCTTGTTTGCCCGTCGTTTTTCCATCCAATGATTTAAAACTTCAGGTCCGCTAATGAACCCATCTTCATCGCCCATCAAACTGCTCTTTCCCACATCTGGTGATTTGAATTCAGCAATGAGCTCCATCAGCCCCACAGGTCTGATCAAACTGAAAACTGGAACCAGTCTCCGGGTCGGGAACTTTCTGGCAAACAGGAACCTCCATGGCCTCCATCTGTGCTACACAGAGCTGCCTTCTAATCCCAGTCTTCATCTTCTACAAGAATTCTTGAAGTTGAGGATCACGCTGCACTCAGGCCTGAGAATCAACAGTGAAGATTCTCAAGCAGCGACCAAATGAGCCATTGTGTCCCTGCAGCCTTTTTCCTTCATGCACATCCTAGGCTGAACATTTATACCAGAACCAGAGAGGTCTGTTCGTTTTTCTGTTCTTGCTTTATTTGGAAAATATGAAGCATTTGTGCTTCAGCTCCAGAGACTGATGACGACTTCCCTCTAAGTGCTGAGCTTTGGTTCTGGTGAAGAATAAATGCCAGCAAGAGCTATTTTTCCTACAGTTCTGAGTGAAGGAACCGTTTTCTCTGGTCTTTGGAGTAGATTTAGGCTGCAGGACTTCCAGGAACTTTGGAAGTATGTTCTGGCCAGAGCGACGGATACTGCTGCTGCGCTAGTAGAGAGAAGGGCAGGTTTGTCTTTTTTAGTCACCAAAAGATATCAGATGATCCAATTGATGGGTGGAAGAACGCTACGGCTAAATAAAGAAATCTCTGCTTGTTTTTTACTCAAACAGCAAATTGTTGATAAAAACCAGGTTATAATACCAGAAGCTTTTATTACTGTGTGTAGCTGGATGAAGACATTAACAAAAGCTTCACAGTCACCTAAATGCTTGGATATTTTATATTCCATCACTTTAATCAAAATGATTCAAAATGATCCTGAATTTGTATTACTGCAGGAGACTCAATGTCTGTAATTTAATCTGCCTAAACGGTCTTAAAATACGGTGATTTTAGATTCATTTCTGTTTCATAGTCAAGCAGAAGGTGAAGGAGCTGAAACCCATCAGAGAAGATCCTGAAAGGACATCAAATCTTTCTGCCTCACTGCGTCTGTGCTGCTGTGTGAAACCCTGGGGGCTCTCTCACACTGATTGAAGAGATAAACGCTCTAATCAATACTTTCCAAATAGGAGCGTAGCCCAGTGGCTGGGTGGGGGGGGTGATTGGAGGGAGGGGGTAGAGTGGAGCTCTTTGTGCCGTGTGGAGCTAAGCAGAGCGACCAGAGTCTCTGGATAAGATCCTCCATCTTCATCTCTGGGTCCTCCTGAAATCATCACTCGTCAGATGAGCTTATAGAGGAGTTTGTTTTATTCAATGTGGAGCGACATGAGAGGAGAGGCAGCTCTCATCAACCAATGCATCACTCTCCTTCATTTGATTTATTTATATCTTCCTCCATTTTATTTAATGTGCCATAAAGAGCTCACATTCTGATGGTGAAAATACGGAATATGAAATGTGTGGATCAAGACTAAAGATTCGGCGTATAAAACCAAAAACCTATGGCTCCCCTAAAGGGACATGGAGGGGAAAAAAAATAAACTTTTGCGAGATCCCGCAAAAGTTTATTTTTTCCCTCCGTGTCCCTTTAGGGGCTCCGTAGGATTGCATACTGACCTTGTCTGTTTTGGGACTTCTCTAGAAATTAAGAACCTCTCCAAATCATCCTCCATGGTTGTAGCTGACACATGGGCGTATTATCCTCCCATAGCAGTACACTTTGCACCTCCACTGTTGTCCGTTTGTTTTACTTCCGGTTCGCTGACATGGCAAAACGTTTTGCGAGATCTTGCAAAAGTATTGTGGAATCTCGCAAAGTTTATTTTTTGCTCCACGTCCCTTTAGGGGCTCCGTAAAAACCAGACATTAAAGGAAGCTGGAGACCAAGGTTTGTGGAGGAAGGGAGACTCCATTCAGACTCCAGATATCCACAATTCCTGCTCTTCCTGAGCCGCTTCTTTTCCCTCTGGGATCATCAGAATCCCAGTCACTGCTGTCGCTGCTGTATTTGGACTATAATGGAGCTATAATGAAGCTCTCTGGGCTGTTTATGGACGGGAAGGTTGCACAGACACATTGGTTCCCCTTCTAGGTGTTGCTTGGGGGAACTTTTAGCATCAATGCAAGCAGGAACTTTTTTCCAGTTTCCTCTCATCGTGTCCTGTTGTCGCTTCCCGGTCCGTCCCGGAAACACGATCCGTCCTGCGCATGCCATAACAGATATACATCCAGTTTCCATACATAATGTAATTATGGTACTAAAATGACTTTTTTCTATCCTTAACTCACTAAAGATGCTAACTAAAATGTTTTATGACTTTTTGCAGAGGCATTTTGTTTGTTTTTTTACATTTTCTCTGCTTCTCTTCATCATCATGGGACACGCTCAGAGCGGTCTGGCTAAATCTGATTAAACCATCTTTATCTGCATTTTAGTTGTTTCTTTCTTTAGATTATGCGCTATATATCATAATGTTAACACGAAAGGAAAACATTAAAACTAAAAAAGACGCGGACCCATCGTTGAAGTAGCGTAGCATCCTATTTCCTGTGCAGATCAGGAACAGAGTGATAAAACAGAAAGGATTTAAATGCATTTATTTTCTCAGGAAATACATTATTAAACTTAAGTATGCTTACTTTTTTTTAGGTCTTTTTAACAAAATAAATTGGAGGCCAACCGGATGTATATCTGGATGTATATCCGTCCTGGAAGCAGGATCCATCAATGAGCCGATGGCGCATGCGTTGGACGGATCATGTTTCCGGGACGGCAGGTAGTGACACCCAATCTTACCCGTCTGTGGCATTCAAACACCTCCTCCGTTCTGCAGTATTCAGATGGGCAACCAGTGGAGAAGCATTCGGTTACTTCTCTGTAAAAACAAACTTCTCCTATTTATATTTTCTGTTTTTACATTTTATCAACCTTCATCTTGCTGTATAATTGGCAAACAATGGAGTATTAAATGGGTAAATATTGTTGTCCGCATTCTTTCCCATCAGCCACTGTGTTGCTAAATCTGTGATGGTTGTGAAAACCCCTGATAATTAAAACGAAGAGTGTTTGTTACAGATGTGGTAAATATCTGTAAGGCTCCGGCAGGGAGAAGGTGTTGTTGAAAGCGGCGTCCCCCCAGAGCTGAGGGGTCACGCTGGGTTGCCCTGCATTTTAAGTCAAACGAGATGTTCAGCAGAGTGACATCTGGGCCTCTTTGGTTCTTCTACCTACCTCACCAGGACGCCTTCCAGCGCCGCAATTAGGCCGCTCCATTCACGCCATCCACCCAGCTCTTCACTGCTCAGCCTTTTGTCAACACCGCAGGGCTTTTTATTCCAACTGCAGCCTCTTTTCACTCGGCGCTCTGAGAAAGGGCCCCGGCCCAGGCGTGGGAGACATCTGTTGAGAAGTGCCTTGGATTCATGTCACAGACCGGGTCAGGTTATATAGAAAACCAGTTGAACCCAACGACAACAACGGTAATTAGGCAGAAGTTTGGGATGTTGCTGGAGTCCAGAGCGCACTGGTGTGGCCCCCATTAAAAGAGAACGGATAAACATGGTGCGCGGAGGGGGGGCGTCAGAACCAGAACTGGGACCCAGACCAAACCTGGTATCATTTCTGGACATCTTTCCACCCTTACACACAGGTTCTGGGCTGGGTTGTGTGCAGAGCAAAAGATGAGGGTAATGGTATGGAGAGCTTTCAAATGAAAAAGACCTGGATCTTAAAATCAGGGAGGAGGAATCAAAGACATATTTCCCTTCAAGATGTCTCTCCCTTTCCGTCTAATTCCTATGAGAGAAGATGGTTTTAGCTCTAAGCCTAACAGGGGTATGAATAGTTCTGGTCCTGACTGAAGGCCCAGAACCGAGCCTGACACACAGGCCTGGTGTTTTCTGAAAACAGAGGAGAGGAATCAAACTCCGGTTTCAGTGTTTGGACCTTTGCTTAAGAAGTCTTATCATAATAATCAGCACAATAAAGCAAAGGTGAGAAAATGAAGATGAGTCACTATGAGTCTAAAGACCAGTTTTATCCTCCTGTCTACGGCCTCAGCATCTGTCCCTGCCTATGCTGCGGACACGCCTGTCCTCGCTCAGATAAAGAAACCTCCCATCTCGTCTTCTCATTACAGACGCTGACATAATTAGGCGGGTCTATGCATCCGCATGCTCCGTAAATGCGGAGCCCCTTTCAGTGATGCAGGTAAATTTCTGCTCATCAGAGGACTCTGCTGAAGATGAGGAGGATGGCTCCATGTCCACGCAGCGGCCGCCTCCTGTTGAACTGGACCGACCAGCTGTTCCTGCTCCTTCTTTTCCCTGTAGACATGTTTAAATCTCCTCAACTCTCCGTTCCTCCTTTTAACCAAAACGTCTCCCTGGTTCCATACAGGCTGGTTTCAAGTCCGACTGAAGACGCTGCTCTCATTTCTTTTCGCTCCTCAGAGTAGAAAAGCTCCTTCTGTTGCTCGTCTGGTTTCAGCAGAGAGGCGTGTATCTCTGTAGCTCCTCCGTGTCACCATGGTTCCTCCATTCTCTCAGTCTGGGTGGACGGTGGTGTCTTGGTGGTCCATTTTCTCTCTATGTTCAGATAGAGAGAAGCGGCCGCGTTCAAAGCTTAGCTTGCCTCAAACCACCAGAACTTCCTCCTTTGGTTCTCTGATGTCACAGGAAAGCTGAGGCTAGATCAGATTAGATGATGATGGACTGTGGTGACCTCTGCAGCCGGTTTCACCCTCTCCGCTGTTCCTTTGGAAATCCCAGCAGAACTGGGGCTGTTCTGGGTTTCTGTACCCGGGCCAGCGGGTTCTGATGCCTCTTTGCTTTACTGACGCCCTGAGGACAGCCTGACCCACTGAAGAGTTCGGTCTGATGAACCGCGGAGTCTCTGCGTGCTCTGTAGCTGTGGGTCATTAACCTTCAGCGTTGATCTGGTTTCCAGTCTTTTCTATCTCAGGGTGACGTCCTGCTCATGCACAGGGTCCCAGACATTACCAGGGACGAAACTGGAGCGGCTTGTTGGTCAGAAAGGATCAGAAAAAGGCCAGAAAAGACAATAAAAATGGACAAAGGAAGTAGGAGAAGGAAGGTGTTTGTAGCTGCAGAGCCGCCACGTCCCTCAGAGGGGGGCGGCAGACGCTGTTGCTCTGACATGGAGACGCGCCGCCACGCCTGACGGAAACCTAGCGAGGCAGTCTGCTTGTTAGCTGCTAATTGAGCGGTCAGAGCCAAGACTGGAGTGCGCCATCTGTTTGTCACAGAGGAACATCTTGTCGCTTCACGCCCATCAGCAGCCCCTTCCTCTCTCTGATATTAATAGCTCAGACCCACAGACTGAGAGAGAAACCGCAGAACTTAAAGTAGGGGGGGGGGGAGTCAGCAAAGGGTCACAGAAAAGGAATCTGACACATTTAGTCAAAGCAGAAATACTAAGAATAACATTTCTAGTTTTCATGTCATCTTGATAACCTCCACTAAAGCAGTCATGTTGTCATGTCAGCATCGCCAAACGTTCCAAACACCTGGAAGCCAATTCAACCTGTTCCACGGACCAATCAGAGCTCAGCGGCGGCGGTCAGCTCACACCAACAGAACCCGGTCCTGCAGGAAGCCGGTGGAAACGTTCAGAAAGTGTCTCAGCGGCTCATAGAAAGGTTACACTGATAAAAGAGCAAAACGCCGTCCTGTGTCTCCTGACAGGAGCGATGCTCCGTCTGCTCACCTGCTTCAGATCTGTTACTGAGAGCAGATAGAAGTAGAACATCTTCCAGAGCCATTCTAGTTCCTCATGATCTAATATTTTATCCATTTTAGCGTCTCTGAATATTTGATCATCTGTCAGTCGTCAAGTTTCTGAGAGAGGCTACTGTTCGGGAGGTGAAACAGTTTCTCTGCTGCTCATCTTTCCTCTCGGTCGGCCGACGCTTGGCGCCGAGCCACAGCTGCCAGGCGGGGGGGTGGGGGGGTGTGAAGCAGCTCAGGCGAGGTGCTAATTTCTTAATGTTTCTTCAGTGCTGGATCTTAATTAGCGTGGTAAGCTTCATGCCTAATTTAGTGATTACTCACTGGATAAATGAACTAATGTAGATCTCTGGATCTTAGAGTCGTTCCGCACCTTCCTGCCTTTTCTTTCAGCTTATTTCTTAGTTTGGACAGAAAATGAATCGCTGTTTGTTTAACTTTTCACTCCCTGACACACATTATTGTGATATTTAGTTTTTCAGTTTATTATTAAAGTTTAGTGAGGCGTTTCAGTCCCACAGAGCGATGCTGTTCTAGTTCAGGATCTTTCAAAGGATAAAATGCAGATATCATCTGGTTGAATGAACAGAAACCTTTGAACCTGAAGGCCTGTGAATGTCAACCATCCTGTAATCAGACTGTTTGCTCCTCAGGGTTGGTTTAGTCCCGGCCAGGTGTTTGTCCTGGATGAGTACTGCGCCCGGTACGGGGTCCGAGGCTGCCACCGCCACCTGAGCTACCTGAGGGACTTGATGGAGTATGCGGAGAACAGCGCGCTGGTCGACCCCATGCTGCTTCACTACAGCTATGCTTTCTGTGCCTCACATATCCATGGAAACAGGTACCCAAGCAACAGCATGACTTTAGCATGGTCCCCCCCCCCCCCCCCCCCATCCCCCCCACCCAGACAGTAGCAGATACCTGTGCTTAAGGCAGCAGACATTCAAAATGTCAGAAATAGTGTTGAGTTCCAGACTTGAACAGCAAGGCCTTGTTTTGGTTTAGAAAATATGCAAGTAGAACGCGGTTCCACCCCTTCGGAATAGGTGGTCGTTTGGGTTCTTTGTTAGCCTTCAATGCCCCATACTGGTCCATGGTTGGTGAACTAACTGCTATTTCTGACATTTTGAATTGAAAAAGCTTCCTGGATGGGAAGAGAAACGTCTTCAAACTTGGAAACAAAGTCCAGAGGATTGTTTTTAAACTTTCTTGGAATGTGTAGTATATTGTTAGAATGATCTGGATCATCTGTGATCGATTGGTTTACCCTATAAGAAACGCATCACTCAGTGTTCGATATGTTTGGTCTGGTAGCCAGCGAGCGGCAGTAAAAGTCACATGCGAGGTGTCTCACCAGGTAAACAAGCCTCACTGTTTACTTTATAGTGTAAGAAGTACACTACATGGTGTCAGAAGTGGTCTTTTCTTACTCCACATGAGACGCGAGACTACAAAAGTTTTCATTAAATCCTCCGCTGTGGAAAGAAAAGTTCAGTTTTAACGTCTTTGTGTGACCGAACGTTAACGTTAGCTAGAGCTAGTCTACAATGGATCAGTTCAAGCCTCCAGCCCCGCTAGTGCTAACCGGCAACATCAGCGAGAATTGGCGCAGATGGGAGCAACGGTTTCAGCTGTACGTGAGGGCTACGGGAGCGGACACGAAAGCTGAACCGGGGAAGATGGCCGTTATGCTGCACACGGTCGGCAGAGATGGCAAAAGTACTCACTTTCCGTACCTGAGTAAAAGTACAGATACTTGTGTTAAAAAATACTCTGGTAAAAGTGGAAGTACTGATTAAACTTCTTTACTCAAGTAAAAGTAACAAAGTACAGGCTTGTAAATTTACTTAAAGTATAAAAGTAAAAGTAGAAGCCACTTTTTTCATGCCGTTGCCTACATTTTAAATGGATGTCTGCCAATAGGACTAGATCTCCGTTGTGTTCATTTTCAATCATCTTGTCGTCCATCCTACTATGCTAACGCCACCGCCACCAAGCTGCAATGATTTGTCGCGAATGAATACTGCTGAATCTGTCGATTCATCTTGTAGTGGTACGTCAAATGCAATGTAGATTCCCATCCAATTAGATTGAATTTGGTATTGATGATGTAAAAAATAATAACGGCATCTCCATTGAAATGTTTCAAAACTAAAGTAACGAGCCAATTTTTCAAAATGTAAGGAGTAGAAAGTACAGATATTTGTGTAAAAATGTAAGGAGTAGAAGTAAAAAGTTGCCATAAAAAGTAAGTAGTAAAGTAAAGTAAAAATGTCTGAAAAATCTACTTGAGTACAGTAACGAAGTATTTGTACTTTGTTACTTCCCATCTCTGACGGTCGATGAGGAAGCACTAGAAATCTACAACACACTAGATGTGTTTGTAGAACCAGGTTAGGATGGACAGCCCGGTTAGCTAACAATGAAGGACATCTTGGATGCGTTCAGAAAGTACTGCATACCAAAGAAAAACATTGTGTTTGAGCGTCACCAGTTCTGGTCACTACCCATGTCTGAGGGAGCCAATGTAGATCAGTTTGTGACTGAACTTCGTCAAAAATGTAAGAACTGTGAGTTTGGACTAACAGAGAATGACATGATCAGGGATAAGCTTGTGTTTTCTATGACCTGGATGACTGAGAAACTTCACCAGCATCTATCGTCTACTTTTGACTCAGTTCATCACAAAATCTTAGTTTCTGGCTTAGAGCGGGCGGGGGGGCCTTAGCCGTAAGGCTCTATACTGGTTTAAATCCTATTTGGCCAAACTAGCTTTCTCTGTCTGTCCTCCTCTGCTTGGTTACCCTTTGGTGTCCCACAGGGCTCCACTTGGTGCCCTCTCCTCGTCATGCTGTACCTCCTCCCAATTGGAAATATGGGATTTCTTTTCACTGCTATTCAGATGACTCACAGATTTATGAAAACTGACTCCACATCTCTGCTTTACTGCTTGGAAGACCTGAAAACCTGGACGTCCCTAAATTTCCTAAAACTCAATGAAGAAAAAACAGAGTTGGTGATTTTTAGTGGTTCCAGTGAAGAATCCCTGATGGATGTTGGATCTTTAGCCCAGTAGATCAGATGTAGGGGTTCAAACAGATGCTGGATGTGAAGTTTGAATCTTATTCTAGAGCAGCTAGCAAAGGTTAGAACTATCCTTTCATGTCAGCCTTTTGAAACTCCACTGCCACTGGCCTGAATGACTGTAAGGCATTTTCAGGGTTCCTACAGCATAAGGCAAGTTAAATTTTTTAAGACATTTTAATACCACTTGAAATAAAAATTATCTTAACATAAACCACTGTACTGTTTCAAATTTTGAAAAGCTTCCCATACAGGAAGAAAGATAAAAACACACAAATGACAGATATATTTGAACAATTATTTAACTGAATTCACAAACTTTGTTTCAGCAGGGAACAAAACAAATCAGTTTTAAAGCCACAACATAACCAGTGCTAAGTCTTTTTTGCAGCTATTTTTCTTTGTATCGTTTTCTTAGTATGTTTGGTTTGGTGATAAGTGGAGGCGTTGCAGAGACAAGGGTGGAACTAAACCGAGAAATACCGGCTGTTTTTGACGCTTTGTGTTTTGCGCTTGGCATGTGCGACTCCACTGCCTTAATTCCCATCGTTCTGAGCTTGAATGACTTCTTCCACAAAATCCACTGAGCCTCATGTATGTTCCCTGGTTTTAGCCATGGAGAAAACTCTTGGCTGGAGACAATTTTGGTTACATTTACACTTGCTCATATTTTCCAGACAAAAAGTTAATGGTGCATCTCCCAAATGTCCCGGCCGCAACAACGCTTTTATTGGTTCCGCTATTTTGGGGCGGAAGCAATAATGGCGAGCTGTTTTTTTTTTTTTTTTATAAGAAAAAAAATTGTCAATTTTAATGTTTTATTTTGGTTACAAAAATAAATCGTAATAAAAATAATCCTATTTATGATGTTTTAAAAATTAAGACCTATGAAAGACTGATTTAAGACATTTTAATACCAAATAAGGCCTTAGTTTTATTTTGAAGAATTCAATGCCTTTTAAGACTTTTTAAGGACCCGCGGGAACCCTGACTTTATAAGGGCATCAGTGATTCATGCGTTTCTCAGCTCAGAGGGTGCAAAAAATATAATCATATTTCCTCTATTTTAGCTTCATTACACTGGTTGCCAGGACATTTTAGGTTTGATTTTAAAATCTTTTTATTTGCTTTTAAAGCTCTTAATGGTCTTGCCCCGCCCTTCCTGAGCTGCTCCATCCCTGCACGCCCTCTCGCTCCCTTAGATCAGCTGATCAGTCCTTACTGATGGCGCCAGGAGGAGATTGTCCTTTTTCTGCTGTGGAAGGACCTTCCTTTGGCCTCCAAACTTCCTGATTTTAAATCTCTTCTATCTGTTCCTTGGCTGTAACACAATATGAGATGTTGACTTTGTCTTCCTGTGTTTCTTTTTCTTATCACTACTTTTGTTCACCACTATATTTATAGTTTTTATGATTGATGTTTTTATTTTATGATGGTTTATAGGAGCACTTTGGATCGGTTGATGTAGAAAGTGTTTTATAAATAAATCTGAATCTTATTCAACAGCCGATTTCCTCCAATGCATCTTTCTCACTAAATCCATGTCGTTGAGTCAGACTCAGTGATTTTCTGTCTGCTAATATCTGGATGAGTTACTGGATTAAACTGGTTTGCATGAGAACGCTGCTGCTGCTGAATGTTGGACTCATTAGAAGGCCTCCTGTTTTCCTCTGCACACGTCTGTCTTCATTTATCTCGGAGTTGGCGTTTTCTTTCCCAGCTCTCTGATGAGTAGCAAAGGGCCCAGTGAGGAGCGGCGATGGCTGCTTCTCACTTTGTTTAACATCGTTTCATCTGCTTAGAGCTGCTCTTCACTTCCAGCCCCCCCCCCCCTGCTCCTAACAGGCAGGTAATTACCCATATCTGTGCTTTCCCTCTTTGTCAACTCATTTAGTCAATTAGAAAGTGTAATGATTAGCTTCTCCAGTTAATCGTGGGATATTAGCCGACGCGGGGCGGCAGGGATTACTGAAACTGGCTTTTTGTCAGTTGGAGCTCTAATTTGAATAAATGTTCATTCAGGACTCACTTGAGTGGGTGTGGGGGGGGGGGGGGATTTTGGATTGCTGGCAGGCTTAGAGGCAAAAAGAAAAAAGAATTAATTGTAGAATGTAAATGTCCCTGGAGAGTCTTCTCTCCGCAGTAGAAGCATGCAGGCGCCGCCATCATGGCGTTCGTTCTTAACTCGGTTCTGTTCGCTTCCAGAACTCATCCAGATTATTTGTTATTTATATGAGCTAAGCGGTGATATTAGCATCAGTGAATGAACGGAAGCCCATTAAAAGTCACTGCTATGCATCTCAATGGGATCTGGGCTTTGACTAGGCCCTGGGCTTCCAGCTCTGAATTCCCAGTGAGTCAGTCTGGAAGCGTCACTGGGATGAACTGGCCATCTCCTGCTGTAGCAGAGCATCTCCAACCATGAAACCTCCACCTCTCGGCTTCAGTGTTAATTTTCCTGCTTTGCTGCAGGTTTTTTATGTCAGAATATAGAAATTTAACAGCAGAGATGGGAAGTAACAAAGTAAAAATACTTTGTTACTGTACTCATGTAGATTTTTCTGATATTTTTACTTTACTTTACTAGTTATTTTTATGGCGACTTTTTACTCCTTACATTTTTACACAAATATCTGTACTTTCTATTCCTTACATTTAAAAAAATTGTCTCGTTACTTTAGTTTTGAATCATTTCAATGGAGTTACTGTTATTATTTTTCACGTCATCAATACCAAATTCAATCTAATTGGATGGGA